ATAATGATATTATGAAGCCATCATGATTAGCAAGACATTTAAAAACAAATCCTTCAGAATAAAAAACACAAGCCTATATAGAGTTTCTTTGGTGGGGGTTATTTTTAAGAACATATTTTATATAATTCTGACCAAATTTAACAATAAAACTATGAAGCTTTTTTTTTTAGATTTCTTAATATATGGGACCATGGAGTGTCCCCCAGGATGTATACACATAGTTTGAATAATTATAAAGGCAGTGTTTATTAAAATACATTTCATTTTCAAAATTGAGCTATCAGATGTTAATGTATAAATACATTTTTGGGATACCTGTATTTTATATTAGTAAAAATAATAATACATATGTTATAAAATCTTAGAAATCAATACAATACTTAATTTCTTGGAATTTTGTAGTATAAAATATTCAATATGTAACTGTTAAAAGTGTTTTCAAGTTTCACAATTATGCAGTTTTTATGCCATCTCTGACACTATAAAAGGCTAATGCTGTTGTTACCTTCCTCCTGTCAGAGGTTGTCACTGTTCAATCATCTTTTAGGCGCATTGCTTTATCAGAGCATTCTCCTGTAAGCTTGTGAAATTTCCCATTCAGTGACTCAAAGATAAACTAGTTAATATACACTTTGGAAACTTTGCTCTTTGTTTAAGAAATATTTCAGTGAGCATAAACTTTCTAAGGAAATCTTGAAAGAAAAATGGTAACCCACAAAAGCAAATAGATTAAAATCTTCACATATTGGGTTTAGGTTGAGTTTTTGAAAAACCAAGAGGAACATCAATGACACACTCCATTCTATACTTAAATATTGTCTACCTCCCTAATGAAATATTTTATTCAATCCCTAGTAAGAAAAATGGTGAAATATCATGATTTTGTAAAAGAACTCTCTTCCGTATGGAGCTTTCTGATGATCTTCCTATGTGCTTTCAAATTAATAATGGATCAGGACTGTTCCTGCCCCTTTTTACATGGGAAGTAAAAGAATTCTCGTAGTACTGCTATTACAAATAAGAGACATTGCAAATCAAAATATATAGAATGTTTACGGTTTAAATACACTGACCTTCAACTTTTGGAAAACATTAATTTGGTTAATATCCAACATCAAATGCTGTTTTCCCCATTTGCCACACTGCATAGTGAGTGCACCTGCACACCCCACATTTCTCTCTTTCAGCATTGAGTATGCAGGTACAGATTTAGTTTTATGATTGTAGAATTTTGAAGCATTTGTTTTTCACCCACAAGTTGCCTATTTGGAAGAAGTGTTCCTTATCCTATACCATTAATAAAAATTTTGTTGACATAGAGCTCTCTACTCAAACTTATATCTTTGATGTCCTGGGCAGCCTCAGCCCTGATAACAATGCAACAAATAGTCAGTAGCAATTCACTAACCTAAAATATATGTACCCAAAATCAATGCCAGTTTACAGATAAACAAATATTTTGCACACTAATAAATAATGCTGTAAATCTTGCTATATTGGACTGCAGATAGCTCCAACTGGATAAAATTGCTTGGCACAGGATTTCTTATTCTGCATGTTCATAAAAACAACTTGTTTCTGACAGCACTCATTCTTGGCAATTTACCACAGCTGTCAGCAGCCAATTTGTTCAGATTATTGCTCTGCATAAAAGTGCAACAATCGTGAGGATTTATTAGCTGATTATCGGAAAGGTGGCAATCCGTCTTGCCTGCCAAAATGCAGGTGATCAGAAAGTTAAATAATTACCTGCAGATTAGCATTATTTCACCTTCACTTGACATCTGTAGTTCAATGACAGGCAGAATTTGCTGTTTAAACTTGCAGTATGGCATACATAACCCAAGCTGGCTTACTGACTACTCGGCATTTTATTGAGCACGTAAGTGTTTTTGGAACATTCTGAATGTAAAACCAAGGCAAAAGGAGCGCTTTAGAATTAGGAGTCCTGGACTTGAGTCTCAGAATATCCAGTTTCAAAAAACTAGGCAACCTTTAAACCTCTAGCTGCCTCGCTTTGTGCATCTGGAAAATTATTGTATGAACTACCCTTATTATTGTCTAATGTTGAGCTAATGGATGTAAGTGTGCCCTTTAAAAAGAAATTATATATATATATATATATATATATATATATATATATATATATATATATATAAAATTGATTTTTTTTTACAGAGAGGGAAAGTGATAGTTAGAAACATCGATGAGAGAGAAACATCGATCAGTTGCCTCCTGCACACCCCCTACTGGGGATGTGCCCTCAACCAAGGTACATGCCCTTGACCAGAATCGAACCTGGGACCTTTCAGTGCGCAGGCCAATGCTCTAGCCACTGATCCAAACCGATTTTCGGCTAAGTGTGTCCTTTAAATAACCAGAGGGCATTAACTGCCTACATATCATAATGATACAAAAGTTATGATATATATATATATATATATATATATATTGATAAAGGTATAGCCCACTTTTTTTTCTTTTCAAAAAACAATTCAATAATTTTTAAATATAAAGATTACTCGGGCACTTTCACATTTTAACTCATCAAATCAAACCGTAACCTCCTGGTTCATAGATCAGTGTTCAACTACTGAGCCACACCCACTGCACTCTAATTATTTTTTGGTCACTAAATATAGCTAAGGTTGTTACAAATTATGATTTCAAATATCATTCCTCAATTATACTGAAACTTTGTACCTTCCACTAAGGCATGTTGTTCTAACTTTCTTTTAATTAATATCGGGTATCATATTGTCTACTTATTTAGAGAAGGAAGAACCATAATTTTGAGTATTAAATCAAGCTTCAGATATTTACATTAAAGTTCGACAATTGTTTATTGAGCACTTATTAGGTGCCAAATACTTTTCTAGGCATCAAAGATGCCACATTGTACAAAACACTCAAAATCCTCATGGAACAAAACCCACATAGAGCATACATTCTCGTGATGGGAAATAAAAGATAACATAAATAAATAAGATGCACAGTATGTCAAGTGGTGCTTCTTCAATTGAGAGAACAAAGCAGGATAGGGGAGAGGAAATATCTAGGAAAAAGGGTTTCAATTTTAAATAGATTTGGTATGGATGCCTCTCTGACATGACATTTGTGCACAGACCTAATGGCAGGTGGACACCTGAAGCGTCTTACAGACACAGGAAAGAGTCCTGAGGTGAGAGAGTGCTCAGTGTGCTTGAGAAATAGCACAGAGGCTAGCACAACTCAAAGAGAGCAAAAAGTCCAGGGTAGAGCGGTCACAGAGTCAGACCATGAAGAGCATTATGAACAACCGGGAAGAGGAGTTAAACTAATGTTATGTGGAACAAAAGTAATAAGATTAAGATAGCAAATTGCATGTGACAGTCATTCTAATTATCTTTATTTTTTATATATATAATTTTTATTGATTTCAGAGAAGAAGGGAGAGGGAGAGAGAAACATCTGTGATGAAAGATAATCATTGATTGGCTGCCTCCTGCATGCCCCACACTGGGGATTGGCTCACAACCTGGGCATGTGCCTGGACTGGGAATCAAATCTTAACCTCCTGGTTCAAAGGTCAATGCTCAACAACTGAGTCACACCCACTGCACTCTAAGTATCTTTTGGTCACTAATATAGCTAAGGTTGTTACAAATTATGAAAGTGAATTAATTATTCAAGGAAAGGCTAGGTAGTATCTAATTGAAAAAGCTCACAATATGTTGAGGGAGACAAATATAGACATTTAATTATAATAAAATGTATTCAATATCAACAATTGCACAGAGCTACTAAAACTGGTGGTTATCTAGAGAACTAGATAAACTTTAAGAAAAATCTAAGAATAGTATTTCACTAGAGCAAAAATATATGCAACAAAGGCCTGCCCTTTTAAAAGGATTGAAATGTAACACACTATTCGGTTACAGTGGTGTTTTTCTCATTTCATCTTATAAGCTAAATATGAAAGGTTAACGAAAGCTAATCTTTAACCCCTCACTTTAAAATCCTGTGAAGGAAACCATATAGATCAGAATCACAACACACACACACACACACACATACACACACACACACACAGAGAGAGAGAGAGAGAGAGAGAGAGAGAGAGAGAGAGAGAGAGAGAGAGAGAGAGATATTTTGGGTTGGATACTGTTTCTGCTTTTCTAGCATAAAATTATGTTTATTAGTATGCATGCAGTTCTTCAGGCTGTATGTTTACAGACTTGGAATCATGCGAACTACAATGAGGAAAGAATTTACTGAACTAACAGATTCTTCTGTATAGCATCTTATTTTTCAGTATTGGCAGGTTTTAATATTTTGCTATAAATTATATCAAAATATTTCTTGATATAAAACTATCAAGAAATATAAAAATATGCCTTGAAGGAGAGAAAACAATTCATGTAACTAAGTAGGCATTCAAAGCGACTCTATCTTTGTGCAGAAATGTCATGGAAGCCTCAGAATAGTCCTTTCTTCACTATGTTATCAGATTAACATGGATCTGCCCCACTTAATGCTTACTTCACTAAAACTTGGGAACTCTACCATCTTATGAACTCATAGAAGATTATAAAGACTCTTTGCCTTGTAAAGGACTTTTAGGAAACAATGCATTTTATAGTCACAATATGCTTTATGAAAAGTAATATAATCTCAGATCACTTTACAGACTATGAATATGCCTTTTGTTTCTTTAAGTATCTTATATCAAGTGAGATTCCTCTTTCTCAACTCCCGTAATTTTTAAGCACAATGTTTCTGACATCTGGAGAAAATTTCTGGATATCAAATTTGGATCACCTGTCCATGAAGTGGTCAAAACTGCCACCTACTGGTCAGTTTTCAAAGCTAGTTTTCAGTTCACCCAAGCACAGCCTTACCTTAAGATCCCTTCTTTCAAAACAGTCAGGATCATTTACAATAACCAGAATTAAAGCAAATATCATTTTAACAAAATTCTCCCCCCTTAGGGTGAACCAAAAATATCAAATTGCACAAACCTGCCAATAAAATCATCCCTTTTCCCAGCATCTTTGTCCCATGCAGTAATATCGATGATCCCCCCTCTTTCTTCATAGAGATGAAAATCAAATTGTTCTCTCCATTGAGGATTCAAAGTTTTGGGCATAATCTGAAAAACCAAAAAAGTCCTTATTGTTTCACCCATATCATTCTTTAATACAATGTAACTTGAGACATTAAATCAAACTTTAGTTACTGTCTAGAAAAGCATGTAGTGTGAGATTTGAACAAAAGCTTCCAGAAATACTGAAAACGAGTCATTAAAGATCACTAGCATCTTTATTGCACATTGTCTGACAGGACCCTGAAGGATGTGTCCTGAAAACCAAAGTAACCATCTCATCTTCATGAATAACAGCTGAGAGATATGTTTTACATAGAAAATTCAAAAACATAGTCTATAAGTGAAATAGCTTAGTCTGACACTAGCATTTATTTTACATTACCAGCTAATGCACAAAAATATAACTGATAGTCTATTATCCTATATAATAAAAGGCCAGCCACCATAAGTGTAATGACCAGAATGACCAGAGACCAGAACCACCATGGTCCCTTGCTGGGCTGGCCCCGCCCCCAAGCAAGCAGTTAGAGGTGATCAGGTAGGCAGGCAGAGTGGTTAGGGGCAATCTGGTAGGCATATGGCCCCTCACTGGGCTGGTCCCGCCCCCAAGCAAGCAGTTAGAGGTGATCAGGAAGGCAGGCAGAGTGGTTAGGGGTGATCAGGTAGGTAGAAGGTCCCTTGCAGGGCTAGCCCTGCCTCCCAGAAAGCAGTTAGGGGTGATCAAGTAAGCAGAGGGTCTCTGGCAGGGCTGGCCTTGCCCCCCCAGCAAAGAAAGAGGGGAGGCCTAGGCCACCAGAGGCGACTATGGGACAGATATGTGGCCAGCCAGTGATCGCCCTGCAGAGGGAGGCCCAGGCCCAGGTCAGGCAAGCCATCGCACCCATACCTGTCGCCTGCAGAGGGAGGTCACCTGTGGTAGGGGGAGGAAGGAGCAGCACTGCACAGATGGCAAGCAATGGCAGTGGTGGGGGTGGGGTCAGCTGCCTGCAGCTGGGGGAGGGAAAGCCCTGATAGACCCTGGTCTCAGGCCAGGCTAGGGACCCTACCCAAGGGGTCCCAGATTGTGAGAGCATGTAGGCTGGGCTGAGGGACCTCCCAAGTGCACGAATTTTCATGCACCGGGCCTCTAGTCTTATAATAAAGATGACCATTCCCAGAATTTCTTTTATTTTCTTACTCTCCTATCCATGTGAATTCTTGAACTGAATGCATAAAAAAATAATAAAGTTCAATGGGAACAGAAGGAAAAAAAGTAGCTTTGGGGTGGCCAGGTAAACATATCTTTGAATTGGAGCATTGATGTATCATCTCCATTTTATATATGGAAAAACTGAGACCCAACCTAGGTCATTATGTTTTAGTATCCATACTGTAGGTCAAGTCTTTGATTAGAGCTTCAGATCTCTTTCCCCCAAACAATATGCCAGAAATGTTTGTGAGTTAATATGATTATGTATGTACTATATATAATCTCCATGTTGCACATACAAGAAAGATATCTGAAGTGCAATTTTGTAACTTCAAGTATTCAGATAAGACAATGGGTGGAATCAATGAGTCAAGTGTGACCCATACTGATTTGCTTTAAAATTCCATTCCCCATTGAGTTAAACAACATTCATATTTGTTTCCATATTCTTTCATTTTAGCAGAAGGGCATGTGGTGGCCTTTTTTCTTTTTAACGTATGGGAGACAGATCTTCTGATGTGAAGGCTTTGAAAGCAATGAAGTATGTTATGTGCAAAGGTAATGCAAATGAATCACGAGTTTTAAAGATCATCATCTGAAATTAACCAGCAATAGATTGTGGGAAGAAAGAGCAAAGAGTGACACGTGTCCATAGCCTGGTTTCATATTTTACACTTAAAGAGCAGAACTATAAAAATAAGTAATGTTTTAAGCCCACCAGAACATGAAAATGATGGTAATTGATAAAGGACAAGAGAGATGTGGCCATCGGTACCTATTTTTGGAATCAGTCATTTCTTTAAAACATGTGATTAAGCCCATGGCAGGAGAAAAGATGGCACTGGGTGGCTGCTATGATAATTCAAGTGACTCATAACTGGGTTCGGATGAATGCCTATGATATTTTGGGGAGTGGTCTATCTTACTTATTTGGTCACAAAGTGCCTACATTTTCAGTTTTTTTTTTTTTTTTTAAAGGATTGTCCTTCCCATCTGGTCTCCTTCAGGTCAGAAATGATGCCCTCAGGAAGGTAACTGACCTGCATGCTGGCATTTTTCACTACAGCATACAAATGAGCTCCATGATATCTCTAATGACTGACGAAACTTCCCGGGCCAGAAGGAACCTAGTTAGGCTGTGTATCGAAACTTCCTGAAAATAGTGATGTCAAGGCCAAGATATTCCCATGGAGGTAGGATGAGATTTCTAATACGAGATGGATGTGATCATTTGTCCCAAGCTGTCCACGAAGCTGATGTCTATGAAGCTGGCCATTAAAGGGGTTGAAATTGAATATAACAACAGATAAGACATGTGCCCCAAACATAACTATGACCTTTGCTAATTTGTTATTATTCCTCTCATTAATATAAAAATATGATTATTTAACATTTTATTATTACTAATATAATTGGTATTACACATTATACTTTTATTACTACTGACACTATTCTTCCTCTTCCTTCTGCTACTTCCACTTACTATTTATTATGGGTAAGGCAGTGTTCCAAACCCTTTACATGTATAACATATTTGTTCATTCTTCTCAATAATTTGATTAAGTAGGCACTATTTTAATTCTCATGTTTACAGATGGGGGAATTAGGGCATAAAGAGGCAAAGGGGCTTGCCCATTTCTCACTGCTAGTAGATCCAGAGGGAATTTTGACTCTTTGTTTTCTAAGTAAATTTTAAAATAACTTTCAATCTGCACAGGTGAAAGTCAGTTTGAATAAAATGACTCAAAGTACTCTGCACAGGTTTTTATGGCATGTAAAATGATGCCTGTGTAGCACTGATACTAGTCCTAGTTGCAATAATAAGGGCAGTCAATACACTTTGAACACTTTATGTGCCAGGCATTGACTTAAGTTTGTTGCAGCCTTCTCTTTTTAAAAGGTGCTTCCTATGCTTATTCCTGTGGTATAAATGAAGAAATTCAGACATAATGAAGTTAAGAAGCTTACCCAAGGTCACACAGCACATAAAAGTAAGAGATGCAATATAATTACTGATCTTGTTTGCTGTCATGATGTTCAAAGAAGTTCTGTAAAGCATTGTTGTAAAGTTTTCATCTTCTAAAGCATAGCTATTCACTAACCACTGCTTTGAATTAAACCACCAGGAACACAAAGAGACATGTCACCTTGCTCTTATACTTCTGATGCCCAAGCCGGAACTTCACGTAGGGGTCACTCAACCCATTTGAATCCATAGCCTTGAGGTCTCGCCCCTCAATCAACGTGATACTCACTATTCCTCGCCAAAGATGTGATTTTCTGTGTACATCTGACAGACGTAAACTTTGGGTCTGAAACTTTTGGCAAAAGAAAAGAGAGTTAGCTTATTGTGTTTTAAACCAAAATATCACATTTGGCATTACTGTTTCCATAGAGAGTTAGCTTATTGTGTTTTATACCAAAACACCTCATTTGGCATTATCATTTCCAATGTTGTAACAATTTTTCAAAAATAAAAATGAGGCAGTTATAAAAATTTTAAATGAAAATGATTTATGGATTATTTATTAATTATTCAATTATTAATAATATATTATCATCTCATGATAAATTTAAGATTATATAAAAATGGTGAGTGCTCAAAATAAAGTTTAATTTTTCAACTTGTTATATTACAAGCTATAGGTACTTCAGAATACTAGAGAACATTTATATGTATCAAATATCCCTGTGTCAAAATTAACATAAAATAAATTTAAATATGAAGGCCCTCATCCACACTGATATTAATTTTTAATAATTTATAAATCTTAATATCTTTTTAATGTTACAAATGGATTTTACAGGTGGTTTTAAGTTGTAAGATTAGTAGTAAGTTTTAGTCACTTTTAAAAGTCTTTATTGCCATATTGAGAGTTTCAGCTTACTAAAAAAGTATTTAAGGTACCATAAAAGACAAAATCAATATGTCCACCCAAAATGTCTTGCCTATGTTTGAAACTTGCAATACAAAACTTAAAAATTACATATGTGACTTATATTTTCAGGTATAGTTTGTTTATTTCTCATTCTAGTATTAAATATCTTCTTTAATGATTTTTATTATCTGCAATTCCGAGTCACAATATTCAAGTCAGTGAACCAAATCTGAAGTTTTGAAAATTAACAAGTCTACTAAAGATCACTATCTGTTGTCTTAAACAGCCCATAAAACAAGCCAGAGAAAGTGGCTATATGTTAAAATATTTACAATCTGGATTCAGTAACACAGAGACTGCTGTTTCTTTCATATTATCAAGTATGTTTTCTTCACTCATTGTCATTTCATGAAAAAAATTCAGCTTTTCTCTCAACTTCAAATTATTCCACTTCTAAATATGAATTAGCTCTATTTTTGTCCTCAACCCTTCTATGTTAACATTATAATGTTATAGCCTATTTTGTAAGACCCCCCGTCCCACTTTAAGTTCCTATTTTTATTCTACATTATTGTAATGCCAGACATTTTTATCTGACATCATCAAAAGTCATGCACTTCAAGGGGCTTTTATTAGGAAAATGAAAACTACATTATTTAAAAGATAACACTTTTAATATTTGAACATTTCAATGGAGAGCTTTCTAAAACACATTACATACTTCCCTACCTTGGGACCTTTTGAACAACATTGGTTCTGCCTTATTGATAGCAATGTGGAACTGGCCTCTACATCCCTCACCCCTGTGAGCTCCAAGAGCAGTGTTCCACTGTGTTCTGAAGTGCAACAAAGGTTTCATGGGGCACCTGTAACTTCCACAGGACCCATGCCCGTTTCACCTAGAGCCCCACTGCTCCCATCTGTTTACACATTGGATTGTCCTTGAATCAAGGATTTCTCAGATTTTCATAATTGTCTAGAATTAATTGCACCTAGCCATCTTCAGGGTTGCCGTTTTTTGTTGTTGTTGTTGTTGTTTTAGTTCTAAGATTTCATACTCATTATTATTATATAATGAAGCAATAGATTTCAGCATCTGTCTGTCTTTCTGTCTGTCTGTCTATCCACCCATCCATTTCTACTACAGTTGAGACTGCCTCTGACAGTGTACTTTAAAGATCAGATTCTAAACACTGGGTCTGACATTTTTGTTAAAAAATAAGAGTGGCAAAGAAGGAAAAAAGAAAAACCATTTTTTGGCAAGCAAGAAGAAATAATTACCTTAGCCAGGACCAAGGAATTGATAGCTACCCATTTACAGAGTTTTAGAATTTAAAAGTGCATATGTGTACACTGTGTCCTGTGGTTTCCACTAAAATCCTATGAAGCAGGAAGGGAAGGACTGCTATTTCCACACCAAGTACAAGAAGTTGACTTATGGTGTGGAAAAAGACAAATAGTGCTTTCCATGGGATCCTTCATGCTTTCCTAGAAATAAGTGGTTTGATAAATAGAGATATGTGATTTCAGCATTTCTGACCTTTATTCCTGAGCCTCTCCCAATATTGGTCTTTAGGACAAAGACTCTCCTAGGTTTAAAAATAATCATTTAAGTGAAAAGTTGCTAACAGATCAGTCACCAGTTTAATGAGTTGAATATATTTGAAATTCCAGGCTAGATTTTTCTACATGGTTAATACATTAAATCACCTTTTACAGCATTATTATATAAGCACATGTATTCATACTTACAATATTCCAGCTGATGAATATATTTAATAACATTTTCTATGCACTCTAGAAGCAGAAGCCATACATAGCACTCAGTAAAATAACAGTGGGTACAGTCTAGGTTACACAGACAGCATCTTCAGTCAGAAAGGCTAAGTTAGGTTCTTGAATGGTACCATGTCTGAAACCCTTATTTGCATGCTCCTCCTCCCATTTTCACGTGAGAACAAGAACTTGACATGGAGTGGGAAGGACAAAGAATGCTTTCCATGGGATTCTTTATGTTTCCACAGAAATAAGATGAACTTAATGAGGCTTTATCTACTGTCATTCGTTGTTACAAATGCTTTTCTGTAACCTGAGAGCACATTTCCACAACGACGTGGAGAGCTAGGAGGGAGGAGAAGAGAGAATATTTCTACACAAAAACAGGGCTACTGAACATGGAGGTTAACTTGATCTGAAAAACGTTTAAAGAACAAAAAGGGTTGGGGCTCCAGAAACACACTAATCAGATATCATTTTTAAAGTGATTTTTCCTTCTTCAAATCTCTTTGTTTAAATGGTACTCTTTAAAAAAAAAAAAAAAAAAACACCAAAAAAACTTCATTAATGTAGCTATGATTTGATTAACTGCATAGTCATGAAACAGATAAGTAGTTAGTCTAAGTGGGAGAACTTGAAATAAAATTATGAGGTAAAGGGGGAAGAGATAAAGTTGGATTATCAACAGTAAAAAAGACAAGTGCTTAAAATACATATGCACATGCATCTTTCTAGCAATTTCTGACTATGTAACTTGGCATGCTTTCTTATCTATGGGTTTCCAGACTGTACTCCATGGCCTCAAGTGTACTAACAGAGCAATTCTGTGTGTGTTAGGGGTAATGGTGGTTGGGAGGGTATGTGTATGTGTTGAGGGGCCTGCATAGAAACTAAGATTTAACCTGCTTAAGATAGCCATTTATTACTTTTACTTTTTTTTTTTTTTAGTTGAACTTTTGAAGAGCTCAGCAAAGGGGTGGGGACAAGTAGAATTCCAAAACGAAAGAAAGAAAAACCTTTGAGAACCGCTAGGTCTCCAAGGTACCTTTGAGACACTTGCTGCTCTATTTAGTTTCCTTTTCCTGTACAGTAGTTCTCTGAGTGTAGTCTACTGACCAATAGCATTCGTGTCTCTGGGAAACAGGTTAGAAATTCAGATTTTTAAGTCCCATCTCACACCAACTGGATCCACAGTTCTGGGGGTGGGGCTCACATTCTGGCTGCACTTGCCCTCACTCAGAGGTTCTGACCCATGTCCAGTATGAGGTTCTGACCCATGTTCAGTGTGAGAACTGCTGCGTCAGACGTTCTAAGGAGTGTGCTCACTGGCCTTCTCCTATGTTCTCATAACTATAATTAATCACTTTGATTATAAAGTTATCCACTCACTGGCATGGATATGATGCATGCTAATTAAAGACCTTCTTTAGTCCTGCTTCTGAATTTACTGGTTAGGAAAGCATATTAATCTGGATATGTGGAGGGTTTACAGAGAGAAGTAGGGACCTACTAAAAAACTGAGTGAAGTTTGTGTATTATTTTCTTCTTTTGTTAATGTTTTTTTCTCTCTCATAAAATACATCAGTATAACACATATTAATTGAAATATTGACCAGTCAACCAAAAATTACTTATTGAGCAGCTAAAGGGCAAGGAGTGTTAAACAAATACATGTCCCTCGATAAAATTAACATATTACAGCTGGTACTCACTGGTAGTTACTTAAGATAATGTTTTCAACTATGCCCTTGTTGAAATAGAGTTCTATTTGAGGAGGGAAAGAAAAGAATAAAGTGGAAGACCAACCTAGCTTCAAAGCAAAGAACCAGCTCTGCAAAAGGAAGAAATAATCTTTAGATTTTTAAAGCAGTAGTCCCCAAGTTTTAGTAGGCCATTTGTGGAAATCATGGGGTCTGACCCTCCCAGATGAGTATCAGTTTCTGTGGAGCAGAGTCACATGTCTATTTCCAACATGTGACCCACGTGACTCCCACACCCAGCCGGGAAGACATCCTCTCTCACAGGGAATATTCATCCCCGTTCAGATTTCATAAAGGAGATCAGGAGGCCAGGCAACAAAATACATTTCCAAGTCTGAGTCAATGAGTCAATGATATTTACCTTCAGTAGGATTTTAGAATTAGTGAGCTGGCACTTTAAAGAGAATATTGGTTCATGTATATTGTTCCTTGAAAAGAAATGACATGATTTCAATTCCTAATTATATGCATAGAAGAGGTGAGGATAGGGGATGGGTTTTCGGAATAGTAAGCTGGGCATGAGAATTCACAGCTCATGCAAGCTCAGGAAACAAATAAGTAAACGGAATGGTGGAACTTACTTGTGCGTTTTGGTAATACACACTCTGAAGCTCTGCTCTGCAGAAGCCCAGCGCGGGGAAAGCAGGCCTGCCGCACGTCTGGATGGAAATGAACGATCAGAGCTGTGGGGGAAAGCTTGGTGCCCCTAGCAACAACTCGTTGCAATCGGAGGCTAGCATTACTCGTCCAAAAAACATTATTTGAAAACAATATTTATTTGCTTCTTAAATCACTGTCAGAAAATGTCTTCTAGCAAAATAAAGATAAATGCCAATGCAACGATATGGTTTCCAGCCACTATTTTCTTTAGTAGCAAAATGCTGCAGTGGTCAAGAACATAAAGGGCAGAGATGATATGGTGATGCATCCCGCTTGGGTGGTTTCTGGTGTTCGTTAATAGGTGTAGCAGAAAAAAAACAAACAGCAAAATAAATCATGGAGAAAAAATCATTTTCACAAGTCCGCCACTTCAAAAAGTTTTGGAGACTCTTTCCAATGTTATTTTTTGTTTCTAATGTCAAAAAAGTGATAAGGAGGAGGATGGGGGGCATAAATGATGATGGAGAAAAAACAATATATGTAATATATACACACACACATATATATTAATATATGTGGGTAACACACATATATACTTATATGTGTATGTGTATATATTTTTAATAAAGTGATAAAGCTCTAGAAGAATTGTTACATGAACAGAAAAAAAGCTATGATAATGTTAACTGTTCCCACATGCTAATGTTTTGTAATGATTAAAGAGATATTTCTAAAGTAACAGAAATTTTGCTCCACATAACACTTGCCTTTGCTACTAAAAAAACAACCAAAAAGTCCCTTCACTGCTATAACTAAGAGCAGCAAGAGATGGATTATGATACAGCTGAACATCAAGAAATAGTGAGTTAAAAGTTTGTATTAAATGACTTCTAGAACAGCTAGACATTTCCAAACAATAGTATGATGAGAGTGATCAGGTTTAATAACATGAAAATAAAGGGTTAGATTAGACCAGTCTGAAAGATATGTTAGACAATACAGAAAGAAATTAACTTGTACTGAGCAGCTATTATGTGCTGGAGTTTTCATGCTCTAGTATTTCATGACAAGTATTTTTAAGGTTAAAAACACACACACACAAAAAAAAAACCACAAAAGCACAGAGAAGATAACCTACTCAAAGCCAAATGGCTACCAATTGGCAAAGCTGAAATTTGAATCTGTGGTTGCTGATACTTAATTGATTCTTTTCACCGCTATATCTTATTTTTTAGACAGAGCCTAAGTTCATGATACAAAAGAAAGAAACTAATTTATACAGGAACTGTTGAGATATTTTGACTTACAGTTAAAGGAAATACATTCTTGGGTATTAATTATTGAGAAAGGCTAATCAGAGGCTTAGAAGAATTAAAAGTCAGCAGCTGGTAATAACTGTAGCATATAATGTTTACTAAAGCTTTTGAGCATTAACTGTATGTCATAAGAAATAATAGCCCAATGTCTACTACTAAGGTGGTGAAGTTTCAGAATCTTGCATATAAACTGAGAACACATATATTCCAATTCTAGTTAATAAAGTTTATTAATTTCATTTATTGAAAAACTGAATCACTAGTATCAGGAGGCATCCTATTGTTCTAGATCCTGGTTAGAAACCAGATCAAAACAAAAAAAATCTATTTAGACTTAACAGGTGGCTAAAGGAACACTCAAACCATCCTAATCTCCAGAGATGTGGAAATAATCTTTGGCTTTTGTTATTCTGGATTTTATTACCTGCACACAACCTAATCCTTCCAAATGAGACCCAGACCCTGTGAATCTGGAATGAAAGGCCTTGCTGTGTCTTTACAATAGCTGTGTGCAGAGTCAGCCCTTTCCTCTATTTTTAGCACAGAGGGTGCACATGCTTTTATTTAATTAAATGATTCGCTGAGACGCTACAAAGAAAAGATAATGACAGCCGAGAAGGACTGTTTTGTGCTGCAATGCCTGGAGTGAGGAGCAATTATTAGCTCAATACCAAGGCACAGGCGTGTTCTATCTTTTCCTTTTCCTGCTGAGTTTATGCCCGTGAATTGCACCTGGATGAAGAAGTTCAACAAGTAGATTTGCTCTACAGCCATCCACCCTCTCAAAGCGCGATTGCCTTTTCAGAAATCCCTCCCAGTGCTTTGTGCAGCCTAGTTTGAAATGTCTCCCCTAATAATAGAGCTTCAATCCCTTTTTTTCTTAGAAGATGATTCCCTGGCACTATAATCCTTAGAGAAATTCTCCTGGTTTTTTATCCTTAGAGTTTATTTCCTATTTCTATTGCTTCCTGATAACAATTTACAGTGTCAGGAAGGTATTAATGTTTACTTCAAATGTTTTAACTACGCTCCCTAAAGTTAATTGTGGCCAAACAAAAGCTCTTAATCTTTTATTATATTTGCCTCAAATGTACACTAACAAAAATCATCATATATGTTATAATGTTGTTGGTTTGCAAAAGTAACCTATTAGTTTCCACTAATAAAATGGTATAAAACAATAAATCCTAGGTTTGACTTACAGAGACTTGATCATTGATTTGGTAAAATGAGACCTCAAACATTAGCTACATCATAGCCCTCAACACATCCATCCATTGGGGGCTTACGAAGCATGGAGAAGGTTCATATAATGCAAGAAGAATGTGAAAGGCTGTCAGTAAAGACAAACGAAGAGGCAACTCAATTTATACATCACATATCTATTCATCATTGATCCCAAAAGGAACTCTTCTGCTTTAAATCTTCACCAAACATTTATTTCTGTGACATTTAAAGAGAAAAACATTGGTCCTGATCATACCATCTAGGTACTTCAGGGCAATGGACTCACTTCTCTGGGCCTTAGTTTCCTCATTGACAAAATAAATGACTCCTAAAGGTTCAGCCTTTATGATTCAATTTGTCACTTATTTTCAGGAAGAAAAGGACATTGGATTGCTATACCTAAGATAAAAAAACAAACAAAACTACCTTCTAAATGTGTATATTTCTTATTCTAAAATAAGATAGTTCAAGAGATTGAGAAAGGTTAATAAAGAATACTTAAGGATGAATACAGCCAAATGGGAAGAACTGATAAGTGGAAGCCTCCTTTGGAAGTAGTAAAGTGGAAAGAAGATGTTGAAAGGGAAATCCTTTAAAGGTATCAATTATGGGGTTGGTCCTGATGACAAGTCTTCATTCATAATAATCAGTCTGCACATTTGATGCATAAAGACCAAACTCCATGCAGAACGCCCCTGAATTCTGCTCCCTTGGCAAAGGAGTATGCCATATGAATTCACCATATTTATGGGTCTTAAGAAAACAAAACAAATGTTTGAAAAAGATCCATTTTCTATTAAGGGTAATGGAACGATTCAGAAGGAATTATTATGATGTTAGCAAAGATACAGAATTACATCAGTGAAGGCAGCCAGCAGTAGACTGAAAGGAAATGAAGAGGCTGTAATAATTAAAATAAGCTCACAACAATAAAAGGTTGTAAAGAAAACATGTGTGTGGAAGGTACAGATAATGAATAGATGTGGCTTATTCTTGCTCACTGGTCAAGTTAGTGCATGACTTAATCTAGTACCTGCCAGTCATCCTAAGAGACACCACAACAAATCTTAATATTCTAAAAGAGAAAGGTAGTTCTCAGTCACGAGCAGTGAAAGAGCCAAAAAAAAGATAAAATGGCAAAGCCCTTCTAGTGTAGCATTTTCACTGCAATATCTATTGCTAAGAGTTATGTACCAAGTGTGAATTTTCAGAGTGAAAAACTCTTGCAAGCAAAGTCATAAGTGCACTAGTAGAGGGAAAAAAGATGAGAGTTCACTATGTTTCAGTCATGAAAGAGAAAATAATGTAAAATTGCAATGGCATTTCAAACCAATTGTGGAATTTTCGTTTTTTTCTTTATTTAAATCAAAAGCAAAGTTGGTGTTTTCTAATTCATAAGATTTTTTCAAAGAAAGAACACAATTATCTAATATGCATATAATATAAAATTATTGTAATAGAAGAAAATTTTCTCAAACAGATGAAACAGATTTTAAAAGAAGGGTTAAGACCCTCAATGGACCATTTAGAGTGCACCATCATATTCCTGTAAGGTCTGAGGGCCTCAAGCTGGTAAGAATTTGGGATAAACTTGGTCCCACAAGGAAATGACTTCAAGCAATATATTAAACATACGAAGTTCTTTTACAAGTGAATAAATCAGTCATATGAATGACTTAAAATCAAAGTTAATAAAGAAGGCAAATGAATACACTTGAGAGCCTATTTTAAAAAGTAAATTTCTTAGTTCATATTTAACTTTTAAAATTACTATTTAGAACTAAAAATAAAAATTTTTAATAAAAAGATTGAGACATTACCCTCCAAAAGAAAGACTTCACAGAGAAATAAGATCCAACCACTTCATTGTTTGAAAGTTCCTAAAAATAAACAAATATTTAGCTAAATTTTGAAGTGCTTTTGAGAATACTTTATTAGCCCAACAAAATCAAAACAAATAAAAACCACAAAATTAAAAACAAAGCAAAAATTATATATTCTAAGTACACTTTGGGTCTTTGTAAACTGTAAATTTTCTTCCCTTGAATAAATTAAAGCTTTTCTTATTCATGTTTGATAGCAATACTAGTTAAGTAGAGGATTATTTCTATAATTTTTTAAAAAAGTCTACTTACCTCTTGAGTCTCAGTTGTTGATTAATGTATCTGAAAGCCTAACATTTTATTTTAAAAAGAACTGTTTAAACATATTTTAAGAATTTGAAATAAGCTGGATAATATCTGTTCCTGTTTAAAAAACAACATAACACTATAGACACTCAGAGTGTTTTTAAAGAATAATAGCAAAGCACACATCTAGTCAAATTTGGTATATATATATATATATATATATATATATATATATATATAAAAACTAGGAAGATAAATAAATGACTTAGTTAACTTAAAATTTCCAAAAATAAATTTAAAAAGAAATTAATGCTGAGAAAGGTGATTATTGAGTTGTAAACAAAGCAGTACATTCATGTTGGATATTTTATTACTTAATCCTGAGATTTTATAATGTGAAACCAACTCAACTCTAGAAAATAAAAAACATAATTAACTTACTTTTAAACACAAAATTTAAATTATATGCACCCTTTAAACTTTAATTCTGTTTCTGGATGCCAATTACAGTAAAATTAAGGGAAATTGTGATAGTTATGAAAAAGTATCAACCTTTGACATAGTATTGAAGAGGAAGCAGTTTTGTAATGTATTTGATTATTCCATGATTTTGTGTAAGCAACTAAGATTGTAGTGGCCAGCCCCTCAAATGATGCCTCATACATAATAGATGCTTTAAATATTTGCTGACTATTAATCACTTGGAATTTCATTTGGGTGAGGATATATATTCCTTCCAAATGCAATACCAAAACTTATATCCTATATAATAAAAGCCTAATATTTTAAGTGTCCAGTCGTGCAGTTGGCCATTCAACCAATCAAAGCATAATATGCTAATGATATGCTAAGGCTGCTCAACTGTGTGCTATGACATGCACTGACCACCAGGGGGCAGACGTTCCAACTGATAGGTTAGTTTGCTGCTGATGTCCAACTGATTGGGACTGAGCAAGATAGGCCAGATATACCTTAGAGCTCTCCCATGGTCCCTCCCCAACCCTGATTGTGCACTGGTGGGATGCACCCTCTCGCAATTTGGGACCCTTCAGGGGAGTCAGAGAACCGGTTTTGGCCCGATCCCACAGGCCAGGCCAAGGGCCCCCACTGGTGCACAAATTCATGCGTTGGACCTCTAGTCAGAAGATAATAATGAACTAGACTATGTTAGAATGTGCATCAGTTTAAATAATTTAAGTTTAAAAGTAGAATGATATCAGAGATAATCTATACAATCCACCTGTGCTTTTTACATGAAATCTATTTCTTGAAACTAATCGGGTCTGGTCAGGTAGCAGGATTAATGTCAGAGGTCATAGGGAAAAAAATCTTGTGATTAAGACATTGTTTTACTATCACCAGAGTTATAATTCATTTACATTTACAAGTATGGTTCTCATTTGTCACACTTACACATTGTCACAACAGTTTCTGAAAAAAATCCTTAAGGAATACACTTATATTTAGATATTGGAGCATAAACCTTAGGTGAAATTGCTGCTGTCTTTTTCGATGCTATACTATTGTTTAACTCAAAAGCCTTACTCTGAGTTTTAAAAAAGATGCATGTTTTCTTTTTTATTGCCAATTCTTTTCTTACTTTGATTCCAGTTCTTTTCAAAGAAAGCAGCATGGTTAGCAACATGTGGAAAAATTTTCAAGTATCACATTCAAGAAATTATTGCTTGAAGTCTCCTTACACAAATACTTTCCTCAGAACCAATAACAAAGGCTGTGAAACTAGCAGTAACTTTTATCTTAATGTGAAATGTGTTAAGGTTCCTTAAATGGATGTGAAAGTCTTGGCTCTAGACTCAAAATATTTACAACAAATAAGACAACCACTTAGCATCTATAATTACTGTAAATTCATTTAAGTGTCAGGTGTTCTAAGGTGATTAATGTTGAAACTTCACCAACTCCTTACTTTTCATTCTTCCTTAAATTGGCACAGAGGATAACTTAATTATGTAACTGATATAAAAACAGTAAAATGAGATTGATGAATTTGGCGAAGAGGGGGCAGTTTAATGATCACAATTTTTTAAATTTTAGGAGTTTAATAAATTGAGGTAAAATACATTCTTCTATAATAGAAATGTTCGTGCTAATTGCCCTTTGTTCATTGCTGCATTTTATAAACTGAATCTCAGAAGCCTTCATTATGAGATTGACTTTACAGCATTTTTAAATGACATAAGTTTAGGAGCATAAATAGTGACAAAGTAAAGGTTTAAAAGAGAATTTTATACTTCCTTCAAAAACATATAAGCATCTCATTTTTTCAAATACGTATACATAATATTTTGAAATGAAGCACCAAAGGAAAGCCATTTTGGTCATTCACAGTTGAGAGGGTCAATGACCAAAAAGTTTCTATTTTTTGCAGTTTTTAAAATATTACCTATTTATTATCAGTATATGAGGTTTTTGTAGAAAGGGACTGATAATTGTTAAATATCTTTTTTTTTTCTTTTTTTTTAATACTATGGCTGACTGAGATACTTAAGAATGTGTTAATTTGTTTCTCTAGCATTTCTTAAATTAAACCACTTAGAGGTTTTCACTGATGCATTTTTAATGTGTCATCCAAGGTGTCAGGTTTAACTATGCCCTGCAGACTTACAGAGTTGAAAGTATTCTCTAGTTTAAATTAACAATATTCTTGCCAAAAGTCTTATTAAAAATTGCTTTATTCAACCAGTGAATAAAGTGTTTTATAGTTCATTAAAATTATGCTAAGTGATTATAATAAAATCTTTATAAAAAGATATATTACTTGAAAAATAAGCCATTAAATAACAGAAGGTATGCTAATGAGACATCAACACGTAGTCTATATTATATTATTCAAAAGATGAAATCTTAAAACAATTCTAAACTGCTTTTGTTGAGAATATGAATTGCAACATGTGTATATATTATCACAATGGTTATTTCTCATATAATTAAAGTGATTTGTTGAAAGCACATACGTTTATTACTATCACATCCACTGGTAAACTCATTCTTCTACATAAACACACACATACACACACACACACAATAGAGTGCAAAAATAATTCCTGCTTACCGTCTGATAGAGGCAATTATTTCATATTTTTTTCCATTTATTTGACCCCATAAAATTTATTCACAAAATACATATGCATCTTCTCTTCTGAGCTCATGAAATCTTTTTGTTGAATAATTTAACCTTAGAATAAATTATCAGTGATAAGGCTTCTTCTAAAGAATATAATTTTGCACTAACTCAAAGTGTTACTATTTCTCTGCCAAATGCATTTGTCACGTAAGTAAAACTCTTTGACCAGGATAATTATCCAGCTGCCTACGTTTAGAGAGACATTGATCCCTATCTTATTAAAATAACTTTTCTATAATAACTGAATATGGGGAGAATAAAAAATATACATGCTGGAAAGTATGCTAATAGAAAACCAGAATAAGTGTTTTAAAGGATATTAGCATCCCTAGGAAAGAAATGTTATGAAATTCATAATTATTCACTAGTTAACATACCATTCAAAGATAGCACATATTTTATATAGAGGTAAGTCTAGGTATACTTTTTTCCCTATTCATTATTAGGTTATAATACATTTTGTCCAAATAATACATGTCAGTCCTGAACAGCAATTACAGTTTCCTTGCCATCAAGTTGGCTATTCATCTCATTTCCAACAGCAAATACGACCCCATGTTATGTGAGTGTCACAAATAATAAGATTTCCATAGAAAGAATCCATTATTGGCAAGATGAAGAAAATGACAAGCGGATATTTAACTAATGGGATAGTCCATGAGCTGATTCACTTGTACAGGGGAGATGCGCATATTACAAACATAACAATGTCAATTTAACTTTCCCCTCTCCAAGGTTACTTCTGAAGAAAATACAAGGAAATGAAAAAAGCTCCATAGTGGAGAGAATATATAATGCCATTATCTGATGATATGTAAGTCTTTGTCAGAAATTTTGTAATTCTCAGATTTATATTCACCATTGGTGCTCAAAGACAGGATGCATATCACAGTCCTGATATCAAAAAGCAAAAAACCTCATTCTATAAATCAAGATTCCAAAGAATAAAATAACCTACTTGTATGGAAAAAGTCACCTTTCACTTTGAGCATAGTTATGTAAAAAAATAAGATACCTGTATTTAAATGTAATGCCCAAAATGTATATCCTCTTTCCAAAAATAAAAGAGGAAAAATCCTTACACAAGGACCTTTAGAGAAGATTAAAATAATTAAAAAAGAGATGCATTTGCACAAAACAGTAACATAGTAAATAGTAATGTAAAACTATACAGTATAGTTACTTATCTCTCAGTTTCTCAGGAAGCACAATTTATAGCAGTGCTCCCTTATCTGTGGTGGATAAATTCCAAGACACCTAGACATGATAGAAACTATAGATAGTACCAAACCCTATATATACTATGTTATTTTCCTCTACATACAGACCTATGATAAGCATTAATTTATAAATTAGGCAAGAGATTAACATTAATAACTAATAATAAAATGCAGCACTTACAACAACATAGTATAATAAAAGTTATATGAATGCGGTCTCTCTCTCACTGCTCTTGTAACACTAATATGAACAAAAGTGGCAAATGTTTTAAGGGACGGTGACAATTTGAATGAATTATCAAGTGTTCAGTATGTTCTCACCGGAAAAAAACATACAAATGAGTAAACTGATTTTCCTTTATTCAGAATTCTATATCCTCATTAAATTATAAAAGTTGGAAATCCCTTAGGCTAAAAACCCAAAAGCCATGTTATAATATACACTAAAAATAATCTGCTACATATCCCAATGAGTGCAGAGTTAGACACAAGGAATTCTATAGTTTAATGGCAAGCCACAGAAAGTACCAGTTGAATGTACAAATGGATTATTAATAATAATAAATTAAAACAAAAAATTTTAGAGATAAAAATAGTGGAGATTAGACATGTATTATTACTTTTAAGTTGTTTTTGTAGAGCAAAGGAAAAGTAGATTTATGTTTACTTAATTTATCATTAAAATTAAATTTAAATATAGATTAAATAAATTACTTAAAGACTTTATAATTATTATTTTTATACTACAATAAAATGGATTATTCTTACCAATTAATACTAACTACTACATAATATCCTGCTCTAGCATTATATCTTAATTACACCTGGAAAAGATAATATTGCTACATATTAATGGATTACAAATTCTTACACATATATATCAGAAATAGAAAATGCATGAGGAAAGCCAAATGAATGAATTTTTTAAAGATTTATACTTTTAATACAACACTAATTTTGAAATACAAAGAAGAAATTATAATACAAATATGAACAGTTCAAACACTTCCATAAGACTTTTTGAAACTTCATTTTGGTAAGTATATAAACACAGTGAACACTAAATCATAAATATTCAGCAACTTTCCTTAAAATATTTTCCATTTTTTACTTTTTTTGTGAACCAAATTATCTTTTAGTTATTAACTCTACAAAAGTTAGGAAGAAAATGTATAAGATGAAATATTTATTGAAGCAAGTTAAGACATTACCATAAGTGCACAGACATTTTGATACGTTTTCTTCATTCATGATAATAAAAATGGCAAAAATCAAAGGAAAATTTAATAGCATGGTTCAGAATGGAAGAGAAAATATTGTCACGTTCCAGGGTCTAAGAAAATTAGTCACTAGTAAAAATGAATACTGACTTCTTAAATAGAAATTTGAGCAAACAAGTTTTTTACAAATAGAATCTCTTTTATTTCTTTTAAGGAGTACTCACAGAAAAGTCCATTTCATTTTGATGCTTATTTGTGTCCAAGAGTGATACACCACTGAACAAATCACAAGCTTAGTTTACATCTTATATTTTTTACAAGTTATAAGAGCCAGAGCTTAGTAAGTTATAGGAGCCATAAAGTCCTCTCACTCCCAAGAGTGTTTATTTCTTGAAGTGAGAAGAGGCAATGATGCAAAGCTGTTCTCATTATACACTCCAAAGATGTAGCAATTTAGGGATTTCTGAGTTTAGAAAGTCTTAGGTTGAATTTTCAGTGAACAGAAACAGTAAATTACATGATTTTCCTTCTCTCTAAAGCTGTCCCTACCCTCGCCTCATCATTTTATTACTGATCTAGAGCAGACATTTTCTAGACCCTGTGGTACATGTAACACAAACCAGATGCTGAGAATGATGCTGAGAAGTGACCAGAGATTAGCAAGAGGATGATTTGGGTGCAATTGATCAGTGTGATTTCTATTTACTGAAAAAGCAGTACATGGTTTGCTGAAAGTTTATGAAAAAATGAATTGAAGTGATGAAATCCTGTGTATAATTTGAAGAGGTATGAGAGAGGCTTGAGTGGTAGTTCTCAACAAGAAAAGCTGAAAGATCACATGCTAAGCATTACCTTACTTGATCTTTTCCAACTCTTCCTCATTAGCATTGTCTGCAAATGAAATAAAGCATTTTAATTATGTTATCACTCAGGTACAGAATAGGGCAGCCAATTGGCTTCAAGAGGAAGCTTAACATTTAAACAGCAAACAGTTTCCAGCAACAAACTATAAAAGACAAAAAAATTGTTTACACATACAGCTAGAGAAGCACCTTTAACATTCAAGCAGTCTTTCTGGTAAGAGTTAGTTATGTTTACTTGTTTGTTTGTTTATTTTTATGGGGGGGACAATACTTTTTAAATAGAATGGAACATTTTAAATATCTTAATTGTTCACTGGGGAAAAAACACATCTAGTCTCGTGATTGGCGATTGTTCCTTTTGGTGGTGCTGAGGATGTACGATGGCTTTACTAGATCTATGATAATTTTTCTCTTCAAACACATGCAAATCTGTTGCTTTGATGGCATTTTAGACTTGCATCTGCCTAATCTTTTACATCAGGATCTATAAGTGCTTTCAATGGAGAAAAATGCTGCACACTGTGATGGCTACTAGAGATCTAAATGTTTATTCATAACATATACCTTAACAGTAGTTTTTGTGTGTGTGTCTTAGGAAGATGTATTTATGGTTATGGAGGTTTGTGATGAGTGCCTAAGATCATTGGTCTTTTGGTCATAAAAATCCAAAGAATACTTTATTTCCTCTCCAGTTTTAAAAATTTTTTCAATAAATACTGAGGTACTATTAACTTTCTGATTAAACTCTATACACTATCTTAGCTTATTATTATTATCCTTAAGGCAGATGAAGTAGATAATAGGGAATATTTGGAGCAAAGAATATAGCTTATAGAAATGCTTGCCATATTTGTGTAGCAAAGACATGTATGGATACCTCTATATTTTTCAGCAGGATTCACTATAAAGTAGAACCATTTCAGAAACCATTCATAAGTTATAAAAAGAAAGAAAAGGTTTTAATACAAGATTTAGTTATATAAGAAGGGAACCTTTGGTCTAAACCAAGATAGGGAAATTATGTTGTGTTTCTAGAGTAGGAAGTGAGAAAAGCATAAAATTGTCAAAGATAAGGATACATTTTTATAAATACTGGTCTTATGAGTTATACTTTATATATATGCTGTGTTAAATATTGATGAAACTATGGAAGAATAATAGATTTCCTTAGGTTATAATGATTTCCCATTTTTTCCCCAAATGGAGCCAGGAAACTGAAAAGCATTGTTATTAAATACTACTATAAAACAATTTTATGTTTTCTAAGTACTAATGTCCAATTCATTTTAAAGCAACAAAACCCACCAATGGGTAGTGGAGATACACATATAATGGAACATGTGGTAAATGTCTGTGGTTGATGTAAAATAAGTTATTGTAATCATCATCACCACCACCACCACCACTTTCTCCATCATCGCTAAAAGATAATTGGAAATCATACATTTTTGTAGTATGACATAGTCACAAGAACTGTACTATATAGTAGGAGTCAGAAAATAAATGTTCAACTTTTACAGAAAGCAGAGTTTCAAAGAACAAAGAATAGTAATTCTTAGAGACAATGTTTTGAGTCAAATAAACAGCAATTAAGATAAATAAAGTGAAAAGTAAAATCTCTTTTAAAAAAATATATTTTATTGATTTTTTTACAGAGAGGAAGAGAGAGGGATAGAGAGTTAGAAACATCGATGAGAGAGAATCATCGATCAGCTGCCTCTTGCACACCCACTACTGGGCACATGCCCGCAACCGAGGTACATGCCCTTGACCAGAATTGAACTCGGAATCTTTCAGTCTGCAGACCAAGGCTCTATCCACTGAGCCAAACTGGTTTTGGCAGAAAAGTAAAATCTCTTAATTCATGGCCATTTATCATCATCATCTAGTACCTACGAATCTTATAAAATTCCATTCTGTAAGAAATGTTAAACTATGAAAAGAAAAGAAGCTAAGAACATGAGCGAAAGTTGAATTTCAGGGTAATGCTACTCCATAGTATACAGATTCACTACTACTGGCAAAGTCACATCTCCTGACTCAGAACTACTGCACACTATTAAAATGTAAAACAAACTATAGGGTTGGTATTTTTCCTGCCTCTCAAAATTGGCTTTACAAATAGGCAGCATGGTATTATTTTACAGATTAAGACACTGATTCAAACAAAAAGTCAGTAGTAATTTTCTTAAGTGTAAATATGAAAGATCTGGCATTTATGGGAACCAATTCATTATTTTCTTGATTATCTTGATTTTTTTTTTTTAATTAGATTCAGGGGCTCTCAGAACGGCCCTAGAATGTATTATAACAATACTTCTGCTCCATTAGCCAAACAATTAGCTGAATAATGGCTTTGAGTATCCCTCTCCCAAGTCTCCTTTTCATTTTAGATGATTAGGTTAAGGTAAATTCAGTTAAACTGCAAACAGTAGAAAAGTTTTTAGAAAGTGAATCTAATAGATATACTATTATGCTACCTTTGCTATCTGTGAAACATGTTAGAAAAGAAAGATTGTTTGGGGAATGTTAAAGATAGGTGATGAAGCAAATTATGAAAAAGAAGATTTTGTTTTTTGCTCTATGATCTTCAGCTGAGAAACATATGAATTTCTTGAAATTGTCATTATCTAATATCATTATAGTACTAGAGACCCGATGCACAAAATTTGTGCAAGGGGCTTGGCCTCCACAAGGTTGCTGTGGGGCTCTGCCTTGTCCCCTCCCCCCAGGCATTGTCGGGACAGAAGGACATACAGAAGGACAGCTGGCCTAATTACCATACCACACTTTTATTATTATAGGTAACAAAAGTTTTTTATTAGCAGCTCAACTTTCTTTGAAGCCAATAAAAGAAATAAGTAGCATAAAAATATGGCCTGTGATAGAGCTGCAAAACTAATTTTTTTTTTTTTAATTCTACAATCTCAATCCACTTTGTGCCTTTATAGTTTGTTGTGGTTTTTTAAGGCACTTACATGGCTCTATAAATATAAAAGAAATTACAGAATGGGTAGATATTATTGTATATACATATCATAAAATATGTATCACATTTTTATAAGTGGATATTTTTTCAAATGTTAGCTATAAAATAATTCAGGAAAAAAATTTAAAAAATAAACCAACATGGAAAAAACTTTATTAAAAGCTCTTTAGGGTCAATTCATATGTTTCTTAGAATTTTTTTTTCTTTAGCCAAGCAATTTGTAGGTCTAGATTATCTAAGAGAGTGTATAATACAAATTAACTCACTTTTATTTCACAAATTCTCCAATGAAGAAAGTTGTGGATTGAACTCTGCTAGAAAAAGAGCCAGAAAGAACTCAAACACACCATCAGACCAAAATACCATACACAAGACACATATGTATTCACGACACACTTTTTTAAGGGGTCAAAAACAGGACATGAATTCAAGCAGAAATGACAGTTGTGTCATGCAATTCATCAGCATGCCCCCCCCCAACACACACACACACACACACACATACACACACACACACACACACACACAAATATATGTAGATTCACATCTGGGATTTTTAAAAAAGACTCATTAATTCAATGAAGAAGATTTTAACATAAGCAACTATGAAATACTTTGGCTGCTACTTATACTGTATTTCTTAAATTGCTGTGATTAGACATTGCATATTTTAGAGGCTTAGAGGGGATTCAGCAGGCTGATAGGTTTTTCAATTCATTCTTCAGTTTTACTGATTTCCAAAACCGGCAGTCCACACAAGGAGAAGTCACCCCAACTGCATTATTCATGACATTTACTGTCAGTATTGACAGTGTACACAAAACTCATGAGATGACTGATTTAGAAATCTTAGCACTTTCGGATGCTAAATACTCTGTGTCTCCAGTTACTCATTTCTTCCTACTTTTGGTAGCATTTTCTTAACATTAATACTCTATTTCCTATTTGATTGTTAGGATGTTTTTGTTTATGGCTCTTGAAACTCAAATTCCATTTTACATTTTAATACACGTGTATTTAGTTAAGCTCTGTAAACACAGGCATAAGAATAAACATATGGTTTTTAAAATAAAATCTTAAGTCCCAAAAGCTTAAATAATTTCTAAGCTAACAAAGCAAACAGAATTCTTCTAATTTTGCTGTGTAAGAGTCAATAAAAAAAATCACCTTCTATTTCATCCCCATATATCATTCTAAATATTAAATGTAATTGTGATCATTTACTAACTGATTTCTGGTTTGCTGCATTTTGAGTTGGGGTTTCTCTAAACAAGATTTGTTCCTTGATAATGTGTGAAAGTTCAGCATGTCATTTTTTACTGCAGCAATGTGTTATGTATTCAGGAATATAAAAATTATATTTGAAGACATATTGGATTTTTAAACAAGGAAATTCAAATGTATTCCAGAGAAATGTATTTAGCTAATGCAAACATGTTACAAAATGAAAAAAATACAATTACCTGCTTTTAATTCATTGTCATCATTAGAAATCTTGAGACAAGCTATGCAGACTGATTTTAAGCACATTATCATTAACATACCAATTTTAAGAACTCAAAAATCAAACTTAACTCATTCTTTAATATTGTTTGGAACAACCTCAGGGATTTAAATAAGAAAAATAAATAATATCTTTTCCTGCACCTTTGAAGCATTTATTCCTTCGAATCCTCATAGATATTCAGCAACAACCCATTGAACAACCATTAGGTACAGAAAGTTGGGCTAGGTTTTGAGAGAAGTTATCATAAGGAAATCAGAAGCAGTAATTTACATGTTTTTTTTTAATGGAGTAATAGAATATAGGATGGAGGTGAGCAGAAGTATAGTATAGGTACATTTGGGGAATTATACGTGACAAAAGAAAGCCAGGACTTAAGAGAAGGTGAGTTTTGCAAGAGTTTGCATGGCTGGGCCAGAAGTTACAAGTGAGGGAACATTGTTAGTGATTGAAGAACCTTAAAACACCTCATCAGGAGTTCCTGTTTAACCAGAGAAGTAACCACAGGTTACTGAACACTTAGGGGGAAAAAAGAAAAAAAAAAAAGGAAGGTACAGAACCTAGCACACTGTTTGAAGATAATCAGTAAGGGAATTTTTTTTTTTCAAAATAGAAAAAATGGTCCTTGTTCACAGTTTTAAAATCTCATAACTAGTGTTACTTAACAATTTAGCAATATTAATAAAATAGCCAAATAACTGCCACATGGACCATTTAAAAAAAAAAAAAAAGGTTAAAAAAGCAAATTACTATGTACTTGTTAGAAATGTTGAGTAACATGCTTAGTAATATGCTTAGGAACCCAGATCCAAATCTAGAACATTAGATTCACCAGGATATTGGGGAACTGAATAGAATTTCCTACGAGGAACATTTTAACCTTCCTCCCCAACTCTTGACTCACTTCTCTATAGCCAACTCCATGTTCCCAGCTATTAATCACATGATCGCACCCACGAGGAGGAGCCAACATAGCCACACCTGTCACCTCCCTCTCTGCTCCTCAGGTGTGGCCAAGGTCAGGATGGTTCACCAACAAGAGGTTAGCCTGGCATAGGCCTTTCCTGAGGCACTGAGTCCTTGCTAAGCCACCTGCTTCCCTGACGAAGAAGAGAGAAGACAGGTGAGAATCCACAGCAAAAAAAAAGACAGTTTTTCAGTTTGCACAGAATAAATCCAGTGCTATTTAGGACTTTGAAGGGGAAAGATATGAAGTAAGGCAGTGGATGAAAAATACGTGGCAGTAAAATATTTCTTCCAAAGAGCTAGGATTGAAATAAAGAAAATGACATGAGGATCTCAGAAAGAACTGTTTATGCTGGAGAGAGATGATAAAGAGAAAGGAAAGGAAGAAAAGAAGATGAATAATGCCATATTTTTTATGTGTAACTGTTTTATGTAACCCACCAGTTTCTTCCCTATTCTTGTTTGAGAAATCACTGATGATCAACAACCAGGCCCTAAATTGTTTCAAATGATTTTTTTCTAATTAGGAAGACATTGTGCCTACATAAGTCTGAGCAGCTATGAGGATTGAAGGACTTTTGCAAGAATTGTTGAAGAAGAAATATAGTTGGGAACTACTTTGAGCTGACATATATTTCTGTGAATTTAGAACAAGTAGCAGTTCCATCGTAAGATCACTTGATACTTATTTGATCCCTCAAGCCCTCAGTTTGATGTGAGAGTACCTAATAAATATATCTTTAATATAAAATTTAGTAGACTTTCCATCATCAAATAACCCAAATAGCTACATGGTTAGGGAATATACAAGACCTCAAGCACTTAGGTATTTTCACGTATGAAGTACTGTCCTTCATTAACATACCAAAGAATCCCAAAGCAAAAACATTCTATCATCAAGTTTTGCTGATTTCATCTCCTTTAGGTAAACCTAATCATTTCTCTCCATTTCTATCTCTGACAGGTCTCATCTAAACTTCCGTTATCTTCCACCTGGATTTTTGCAATAGCCTTCTAATTGGTTTCCAAGTATCCATTCTTACTCTTCCATTTATTTATTTTCCATCATGCAGATGCAGAGCTATTTTCAAAAAGCAAATATGATTATGCCACTTCCCAGTTACAGACTTTTCAATGGCTCCCATTGCTCTCCGAGGAAAGACCACAAAACTGAACATGGCCAATGGTCCCTACACAATCTGAGCATCCCTTTCCACTCCAATTGTCATCATGTACCATGATCTTTCACTCACTCTTTGCCTTCATCTTCTCTAAACTCCAATACTTTTTAAAATTCTTCAAATGCAACATGGTTCCTCTAGCCATAAGGCCTTTGCACATGCTGTTTTACTCTGCTTAAAATATTGCCTCTTTTCCTCGTTTTTGCCTTACTAACTCCTATTTATACTTTAGACTTCAGCTGCAATTTGACTTCTTAGAGAATCACCATCTCCCAGACTAAAACAATTTCTCCTATATTTGCTGTTATAGCAACACATACCTCTCTTTTATGACACTTAAAACAGTTGTCAGCATACATGTTCTTCAGTGATTTTTTTTATTTCTGAGTTCTCCCCTGGGTATAAGTTCTCCTGTATCCTTAGGGTCTAGCACAGGACCTGATGTATAGTAGGTTCTTATTGATTACCAGGTCCTCACCCACTCTTCTGTCTGCTCACATGGGCCTGTGCACATGTAAATGCATTCTTCCATCGCACTAAGTTCTCACAGAAGGTATTATTTGGTAATACTTGCTTGAAAACAGAAATTTCTTCCTCACTGAATAGTTATAGACACTTAAATCATACTTAAATATTACCTATGAATATGTGCATTTATTAATTCTTAAAAAAGATGGAGAAAAGTACTTATCGAAAAGGGTGAAATTTTCAATGATTTTAAAACACCAATTTGAATATGGAATTCATTATTTTCATCTACAATTTAGAGAAAATATTGATAATAACTTTCAGAAAATGATATATATCAGCTGTAATCATGCCTTATTTTAAAACAGCAACACACACATTGCTGAAAGAACATTTGAACTTGCCTAAAAAATTATGTCTACTCCGAAAATGTGTTACAATCAAACCTAATAAGAGTAGCTCTGGGTACACAAAAGTATGTGGAGTCTAATAAATAATCTCTGGTAAATGGTGGCAGAAAGCGCACTGGCCAGCCTACCAATGTGGGTCAAACCTGACTTTTTTTTAAAAATATATTTTATTGATTTTTTTATAGAGAGGGAGGGAGAGAGATAGAGAGCTAGAAACATTGATGAGAGAGAAACATCGACCAGCTGCCTCTTGCACACCCCCTATTGGGGATGTGCCCGCAACCAAGGTACATGCCCTTGACCGGAATCGAACCCGGGACCTTTCAGTCCGTAGACCAACGCTCTACCACTGAGCCAAACCGGTTTTGGCCAAACCTGACATTTTTAATATCCCTCCAGCAGTGATACAGTAATTGGCTCCCTCTGTATCCCTTGTCAGCTTCTCACAGCAGCATGATGTGCAAAGAAGTAGAGACAGTCAGTGCTGGGAAATGGGTAGCACTGATATGGTAGTACATCAAAAAGATGAAAATTGCTCACTTATCATTCAGCAAATAATACCAGAAAGCAGAAACTCTGTTATCATTTCACTTCATTTTCTTATGGCACACCTGACAATATAGTCAACATGGTAAGTCCTGGATACTTCCAGGTTGAACTCCAAATATTTAATTCACTAATAAATGTATTCCCTGAATGAACACTATCATTTGTCTATAATATAATATGTCTGAAGCTGGGTAAGTCAAATGATAATATAAGATGCCAATGTGTTTCTTATTTACAAGAAGTTCTGATCTGGAGCATAGGACAGGAGATTTGAGTTCAAGAGATATAATATACAAGGATCAGTGATACCAGGATACTCACAGAAACAAAGGATGGTCAGATTTTCATATGCTGCTTCTCTTTATTATTACCTCCGGGCTCAGAGAACGCTCACACATTCAAACAATGTTTGAGTGAACATCAGAGCACAAGTTTGAGAGCATGAAAACAGCTCTACAAGGCTGTGGGGAGACTTACCACATCCCTGTGTTCTCCTTCCTTAGGTGTAAGGGTGATTGACACCAAAATGATTCCAAGGTCATGGTCAGGATAGTGGGGATCTTTTAATGGCAGAGTCACATCTGTGGGCCTGTGACAGAAAATATTAATATTCTGAACAGTTATTAAATGAATAAGCAAAAAATATATCTTATATCAATATTTTTGTCTTCCTTCACACTCCGTTCTTGTGAACATTTCATCAATGAATGAAGTTGTCCAATAAGTTTTGAGCCAATAGGGTATACCTGGATTTACTAGATAAGTTTATGGGTTCTAGAAAGGCTATGGGGTCACTAGGAAGGCCATAAAAACGACGAAGTGATTTCAGAAACATACAATGCTCCTGCTCTTTGATCTCTAAGCACACAGAATGCAATGGCGGGTATTTTCTAAAATTTGAGTTTAAGAACCAAATGGGGTCATTTATTGACCACTATTTTTCTCTCACATCTTTAAGATATTTTTAAAATCAGGAATATGATATTGAGTAATAAATGAGTGAGAGAAGAGGCAAATATAAACTATACTTTGCCTGCTATATATTATAGACATACTTTAAAAACAATGTCTAATTACTTGAAAGAAATTATAATATTTTAAAAAGTGCTTCTATTTTGTGTTTTTTTTAAAAAACTGATCCCTGAATAATTTTTAGGGTCAGAAATACAAAGTAATCAATAATTTGATCAGTACTTAGAAGACTTTAAAATATTCTTAAATCTTTATCATGCAATCATTATAGTTAGATATCTGAGGAAGAGATTATGAATTGCTCAGTATTTATTACCCACAATCACTTTTAGAAAATAAGCAAAATATACATTCAATAAGTAGTGCATAGATGATATCTTATTTCCATATTTTAATTTATATTTAACAAATTAGGGTTCATGCCCTTCATTAACCTCAGTGACTGTATAACGTTGGGTGCTAACCTTGAATCTTGAAATGTTGGCAAATTAGGAATGTTCCTTTGCTTATTTAGTCACTTGCTCATTCATTTCATTCACAAAATATGTATTAAGCGCATATTAAATGCCACACACAATGCTAGATTATGGGTAAAAACCAGAGCTCAGGACCAAAGATAAGATCCTTATTTAGATTGAGCTTAATTTTTAGGAAATGAAGCAGTTGAAGTCTAATACTGGGAAGAGGATTTGGGATTGAGAACCTTATGTAGTTTCTAGCACTTAGTTATTATAATACTAGGAAACTTAAATAATGCTTAATTTACCAAGTCAAAGAATGATATTATTAAAAATATAAATAGGTTTCTAATATCAAGGGCTTTAACTGAAACACAAGTAACCTGTTAGAAAGATAATATATATACATTATAATCATTGTGCTGAAAATTGTTTCAATATGATTTTAGTTATAGCTAATTATGGTCAGATAAGATAAAAACTTGTTCTTTTTATTTTAACAAATATATATTAAATATTATATTGTGCATGTATGTGTATGGGTTTACAACTTGATGACTTGTTTTCCTATAATGATTACATATATAAATTAATAGGAAAAACTTCATTACATTTTTTAAATTTCTTTATTGATTAAGGTATTACATATGTGTCCTTATTCCCCCATTACCCCCCACCAACTTCATTACATTTTTATAATGATTGCATGATAAAGATTTAAGGACATTTGCAATTGCTTTATGATACATCTATTATTTTATTTCAAAGAGATACCTTAATGCATCTTATAGTAGCCTAAGCATTTATATGCTACTATTATTACCCATTTTTCTACACCCAGAGGCTACTGATTTATACATGGAATTCAATGTCATAATTATAAATATGTAATTTCAAAAAGTAGTATGTGATTTTAAAAAGTGGTTGGGGAAAATGGAATGGTTAGGTAATATGTAAAATAAGTAATGTGTCAAAATAGACACCAAATGCTTGCATATCCTTTCTTTTTATTTTCTTTATCATCCCATAGTTTTCTACTTAATTTTTCACAATAATTTTATCTTTAATAGAGAAATTTATGCTCTGTGATTAAGTCCAATAGTTTGCATATCCTTATGTAGAGGTCTACAGAGAAAATAATATGGTCTCTATAGAAGAACAGCACAGCCCATCCCAGCTGGAGCTCAGTTTTTACGATAATGGACTACATACAACACCAGTTAGGACACTTCCTTCAACAGTAGTGGGGTGGGGAACCAGTGATCATCTGGGTTCTATTCTTAAGTCAAGCTTGCACTTTAGGTTAAAATGAAGGACATGTAGGAATTACAGAAAAGCCCCTCTTTTGTCAAGTTGGAGGCAAAAACTATCTTAGGATGACCAATAAACTGTGATCAAACTCAGCTGACTATAACACTTAAGGTATCTCCATAATTTCTATTTCTCCACTCATTTACATTTATAGAAAAATAGAGTAGTAATCTAGCCCATTATGTTGCTTTTCACATTATATTCCTGCCACATGATGGAGCATGATCATCTAAAACAGAATCCTTTCTCCATAAAACCATCAAAGAAGATTTTATAGCTTCCTTTACAACCCATTCCAGCATCACTTGAGCCTGTTTTTTTCTTCCATAGTATTAATCAATGCTTAACTCCTATGTTGAAATGAATTTTTTAAAAATATAAGACCATAACTAAGTACAAGGAATAATTAATACCGGTATTAGTAGTAATACTATAACTTTACAACTGGTCATGCAATGGTAAACTGATCTAACTGAGCAAATACAACCAGTCTGCCTCCACTTTTGGGGCATTCCTTGGTAACCTAGGATTACTGGTGATTAGTTTGGCTCAGGTGACAAGTTGCAGCTTTTGGAGAAAAGTGCATGCATTTTATTTCCCATATGGTGGCCTGATTCTTAGTAAATATGATTAGCAAGCATAATCTCCTTTAGGCCCCATTACAACCATACAAATAATGCAGGAGCAAGGAATTTAACTCTAGATTTTTGGTACTTAACACTGTGCTGGGGGACAAAGCAGGCATCCAAGAATTTTTCTGTTGAATGGTTGTTGTTGAGTAAGATAGTCAGGGAAGGTGTTTTTATTTCCATTGGGTTGATGAGAAATATGTGCTTAAGAAAGTGTGCCTAGCATGAGGGCTCACAACTACACATGACTGAACAGCAACTAGAACCCAGATCTGCTGACATTGTTTATTATACTAGCCCAGTTTTCTAACAAGGTGTAGTGATATTATGACAGTTCAAAGATCACCTGTTCAACTCCAACTGTGTTAGATCCAGAAAGGCTGAGCCCATAAAATCATCCTGTAGTCCAAAATCATAGTCAAATACCTAAGCAGACAAAAAGAAGACATTATTATAAAAATTCCAAAATAGGCTTTAAATGAAAGCATCTTGATTATAAAATATTGGATTTTGTTAATGTTACCAAAACAATGTCACTTCCTAATATTTATTTCTGTGCTGTGTAATACTAGGATCTCAGAAAGCCTTAAAAGAAAATGGTGTTTAATTTCCTACTTAAAGTCATTGATTGATATTAATACAATAAAATACAACAAATCATCAATATACAATAAATTATTAAAAATGTGGGAAACACAGACTTTGAATACTTTCCCTATATTACAGAAGGGCATTAGCATTCCTGAAAGGCAGAGTGAGTTTGTAAGAAATTCTACAAAGATGTCTTCCAAACTGAGCTAAAGATGATGAGAATATGATTTTAAGTTCTTCATATGCCTCAGGGCATTGTAGATAAATTCTATGATATTATAGGACAATATCATTTAAGCATACACACATGTGAAAATTGAGATATTATAAGTGCATTTGTTGTAAAAAGCAAAGTATTTTGTAATGTTATATTAATGTTAAGTTAAATTAAGTTTATTATCATAAGCAATGACTGGGGGATAATGTTAACATGACTAACATTGAAAAGGACAGAAAAGAGAACATTTCTTCCTTCTGTCAAAACAACTTATCTAGTATCTTCTCTGTGCTTTTCATGGTCCTTATTCCCTACAGTGAATGAGACAGGCACTGTCCCTGACTTCCCTATGTATAGAGGTGAAACAGTCAATAAATACCCAAATAGACTTGTACAGCTTAGTGATGGATGCTATGGAGAAAAAAATCTAAGGGGCGTGTTGGGAGCTGTAGTTTTAGATAGGGAGTTCAGAAAAGCTCCTTGGAGGAAGTGTGTTCCTATGGAGACCTGTAGAGAGCCGCCTGAAAAGGCACGTGGACATTCTTTTAATTCTTATCAGATGAACCCAAGGGCACTGGCAGAATCCTGTTATCAGTACTGTTTTCTCATCTTTATCCATGTCTTTGAATGAGGAACAAATAGGACCTTGACTTACCCAGATCTTGATATGCTAAATCTTGTACTAAAAAATGAGGAGCTTACCCAGATCTTGATGAATAGGATGTGGGCACACCCGAAACTCCTTTTGACCTTAAAATCCCCTTTGGAAACCAATAAATATGCTGTGTTGTCTGTGGTAAGTGTGACTGTCTCTCCATCAGATAGATGGCGCCCACCTAGTGCCCAGCTTTATGAATCTATTTCTGCTTCTTGTCTCTTTCTTTCTTTAATTTCTTAATCCCCAGCTCTTCCACTCAGAACCTGTTGTTTTTTCCGTGCGGAATGCAGAAAACAGAAAATGCCCACCGCAGAGCCCCAGTGCTGAGAAAGATTAACCTATTTAGTAAGGAGAGAGCACTCTAAGTGGAGGAAACAGTAAGCAGTTAGCATATTCAAGGATAACTATTGTGGTTGAACAGATTGAGAAAGAGAGTGGAAGGAGATTGGAGAGAGCTCAGAGCTAGACCAGTGAGGGACCCTTGTAAAAAACTCTCTTAAGTAAATGGGACTTGGCTAATTTCTATCTATTCATTAAGTTTTTCTTATTCATTCCCTCAGTCAAGATAGATTAAGTACTTATCATGTGTTAGACTTATGCTAGGCATTGAGAAAACAGTGGTGAGCAATACTGACATTGTCAGTGTTTACAGTTTAGTGAAGGGGAAACACATATTAAATAAGGAAGTGCATAGGTAATTACACATTTTGATAAGTGTTGTAAAGAAAAGAACAGGGACTGAAAAGAAAAAAAATAACAGCGGAGGTCAAGGAAATTTTTAAAATTGAAATTTTTAAAAATGAAAAAAATTGCTTCTAGATGAAGTTTGAGCTGGGTTTCTTGACCTTTTGAAACAGAAAATCATCAGGCCACTAGACTTTCCAGGATGTGAGAATCCATAGCCCAGTGCTCCTGTGCCCAATTCTTGGCACAAGTTTGAAAGCTGAAAGCAGAGGTAACAGTACCACAGCAGCCTGAATCAGTTACTGCTTTTTCTCTAGTGCAGGTGTACTTCAGTGTAAACAAACTGAACATGAAAAAAATCAATATTAAAACAATAAGATAAACTCTTTGCATTATAAAAGGATTCTTAAATTTGAGGAGTCATAAGGGGATTTATTTAAGTAACAAGTTCCCCTAATGCCTCTTAAATTATTCAATTTACAGTCATTTGATTTACCTACAATCTTTCAGGAATACATCTGTTGTAGACAGCACAGCACCCCTGCAATAAATACTCCCTTTGATCAATTACACATCTGAGCTTTAGTCATCACTCAGTGGCATATCACATGAATATATTGCACATCTATGCAACTGCCACCTCAGTATTTGCAAGTGACTGCAGTACAGTACTTCAGAACATAAAATTTACATGAAAAATTAGAGAAATTTCTCTAGTACAATCTCTTTTCATTGTATTATCCTAAGGCTTAAAATCTTTGGGAGACTACAGTGAAATATAATCAGTGAGAACACCTAGGGTACACCCATACATGTGAAGTGAAGAGCTGTGAAGCCAGTGAATAGATCAAGGGTAGACAACCCAACTGGGTGATTCAACATTTAAACTCTGTTTATTCATGGTGAGAATTTTTCCCACTGTCTTAATGCTAGATGTTTACTTTAGTTCTCAATTCCTATTAATCAGCAAAAGCATAAATGCAGGACCAAATGGAAACATCAGCATTCATTTGTTATGAAATTATAAGCTAGGCTAGTTGGTTCGAGTTCTATAAACTATTTGTCATCGCTTTAGGTGGAGCTTCAGAAATACAGAGCATAGAAAAGAGATAAAAGGAAAAGATTTTTCCACCACACAATATGCACAGCTAACTCTGATGGATTTCCCCCCCATATTCACTATATTTTAGGCACTGTGTTAAATGCATTACATAGACTTTAAAATTTAATTCTTACACAACTCAGTGAACAAGGTGTTGTTTCCATTTTGAAGATAATGAATCCAAAACTTAAAAACAAATATGTTACTGTCTCCTAAATCCTAGGATTGAAAGAAATCAGATTCAAATATTGTTATACTGAATTTCAGAAATTTAACAAACATAACTTGGGCACTCACTCTGGGTGAAGTTCTGGGAATTCAAATGTGAACAATTAAATGGGATCTTGACTTGCACAAATCCTCCAATCCATTGTATTGGAAATAATAGGTAAATTTAGGTAGAAATTGCTTGGCTGCTCAGTAACACCTTTCTTCATTCTCAAATGAGTTTAAAAGAACACATATTCTAATAAATGCATTTGTTTAGCTTCTGATTCAATTGTCTCTCAATAAAAACTGAATTAGATTGTGCATCAGTTAAAATGCTTTTTTATGCAAATAACAGAAAACAACTCCCCCAGCATCAGCCTGAATGGTGACTTGTTAGCTCAAATGACTAAAATATTCCTAGGTAATTATGGCTTTGGGGAGTTTTAACTTGACAGTTTGAATGACTCATACTTTTATTCATTCATTTATGTGAAAAAAAATATTTGGTGAGCACCTACCATTTGCCAAGTATTGTTCTAGGCACTGAAAATATAGCAGTTAAACAGTCTTTGATTTCTTGGGTCTTCCATATAAGGAAAAGATGCAGACAATAAACAAATGCATGTTAGTTAGTCATAAGTGCCAGGGAGAAAACTATCTCAGTGTAGGGGATAATGGGAACTGCTATTTGTATAAGAGAAGCTGGCAGTAGAATGAAGCAAGAAGGCTTAATGGGAATAGAAAGTGGGACGGTATCCAGATCATACAATATGACCCAAGATATAAGATTCTTCTCCAGTCATTTCACTATAAAAGAATAATTAAACTCTAAAGAATAAAACTGACATTGCAAAACAAAGAAATGAAACAAAATAAAACCTGTGGCCATTGCAGTTAATCATTTTTAGTGAAAAATATTATAGAAGCTATGTTGCTTTATTGCTGAGTGGACATAGCAATCTTCATCTCTCTGAGTCTCATTTACCTATAAAAAGAAAATGAGACAGCAGGGACCGGTTTGGCTCAATGGATAGAGCGTCGGCTTGGGGACTGAAAGGTCTCAGGTTCGATTCCGGTCAAGGGCATGTACCTTGGTTGCGGGCACATCCCCAGTGGGGGGTGTGCAAGAGGCAGCTGGTCGATGTTTCTCTCTCATCAACGTTTCTAGCTCTCTCTCTCTCTCTCTCCCTTTCTCTCTGTACAAAATCAATAAAATATATTTTAAAAAAAGAAAAAAAGAAAAGAAAATGAGACAGACAGACAACAGTATGGTGGTTACCAGAGACAAAGGGGGGGTGGGGTGGTTTGAAGGAAAGTATAAAATAATAAAGAGGGTCAAATATATGGTGACAGAAGTGTAAGGACAGAAAAAAGAAAAAAAAAAAGGCCTTTTTCTTTGCTGAAGCCTTCCATAATTTATGAGAAGCACCTGGTGATTAGACCCCAAGATTGTTAGCTCCTCTGATTCAAACAGCCCCTCCATTCAAACTGCAAGACAAGATAAGCTACCCTCAAGGCTACCTTCTTGCACACCCCTACTCCCTGCTGTGTTTGCAACTCAGGGATAATTTGCACCAAGGAGTCTCTAGCTGTAGAAAATTCCCTTACTCCCTCCCTTCAAACAGGCCTCTTTGGAACTCTTCCTAACTATTGCTCTCAGCATGTTTTCTAGTTTTGGAAAAATACTGATAAGACACCGTCCTAGGACATCTGTCCAGACTGTCTCCTGAAAAACAAACTTCACTTCAGCCCAAATCCTCCTCCCCTACTTGTCACCTAGCAACAGCAGCCATTACCCTTTAAAAGGGGAAGTTGCTTTTTGTTCTTGTAATGTATTGATAAGTGGAAAGTAAAATAAACATCCTCTTTGTATCTCTTCTTTTGGTTGTGAATTCTTTCACAGCCTGCGTCACCTGGCTGACCATAATAGGAAGGAGATTTGACTTTGGGTGGTGAACACACAAAGCAATATATGAATGTGTATTATTAAATTGTTCACTTGAAACCTATGTAATTTTATTAACCAATATCACTCCAATAAATTAATAAAATTTAAAAAATAATAAAAAAGAAGATGATAGCAGTTACTTCCTTGTAGGATTATTATCAGGATACATGAGATACAATAGCTCAGGCACTTAACACCATGCTCAGTAAATGGCAGCTATGATGTGACTCTAGATTCTATCCCAAGACTCAATAACCTCACATGTTCTTTGCCCATAAACACAAAAGCATGTGCAATCATGTTTTTTGTTTGTTTCTTTGGTTTGTTTTCCTATAGATTTTTAAAATATAAAATAATGGAGATTATTGATTTATGCATTTAGGATGGGTTTTTGAATCATGCAAAAAAAAAAAACAAAAACCTACAGCAAACAACCAAAAACACGCATCTAAGATAATACCAACATTGTCTAACTTCAGAATGATTTTTTCTGGGTTCTCCGTGGTTTATGGCTGCAAACATATTTCCATTCCAAGTATTCAGTTGTTTCCATTTAAATATCTAGAAATGTGCCGAAACTGGTTTGGCTCAGTGAATAGAGCGTTGGCCTGCGGACTGAAAGGTTGCAGGTTTGATTCCTGTCAAGGGCATGTACCTTGGTTGCGGGCACATCCCCAGTAGAGGGTGTGCAGGAGGCAGCAGATCGACGTTGATTATCTCTCATCGATGTTTCTAACTCTATCTCTCTCCCTTCCTCTCTAAAAAAATCAATAAAATATATTAAATAAATAAATAAATAAATGTCTACAAATGTGACTCCCTACCTAAGCAGTGCATTAAAATAAACTATTGTGTGTTTTTTTTAAACATAGAAACATGGACTCTATCTCCTAGGTCCTGAATCAGAATCTTTAGTGAAGAGACTTGAACATCTAGATTCTTTAAAGCTTTCTGGATAATCTTATGTACAGCTAGGGCGGGAGATTATTGGTATATGACATCCTTTCAGGGTCCTTAAAAGCTACTGAGGAATAATTTTACATAAGACAGTAAGGTAGTCCTTTAACTGAACCAAGCATATAGTACCTTTTCAATCGTATATCTTAAGCTTAAACAGGCATGCATTATTTAAGGAACTCCACTTTTGTTAAAATGACAATCCAAGAAACAGTCATATGGCCTCTGATGGAACTGTTTTCCTAAGTATCAAAATTTTTTTATTATTCCAGAGAGCACTTCAATTTAATACCCGGGTTTCAGGCTCATTATTAGGCCAAACAAGTAACAATTTACACAAACATTTCCTCTTTGTAGTATTTCTGTCTCTCCCATTAAAACTCTGGGTTTCCATTGTGTACCTTAGATAACAGAGACAGGGAAATGACGATGGAGAATTTTTATTCAATTCAGTGGAAATGGATGCTGAATTCACCCCATTGTTTAATGATGTGCCAGAGGATCGCTGAGGATACAGAGCAGGCTCCAGAGGCTCCTGTCTCAGTTAGAAGTACCACATTTTAACTCCCTACTTCTACTCCTACCTTATTATGAATGACTTTCCAGTCCCTTCCTCCAGACTAGTTTACACCTCCTGCCCTTACTGTGAAGGTATTCAGAATGGGAGGAATATTTTCCTTCCATTCAAACTAAATGCAAAGTAAAATCTTATTTATTTATTTTTTAAAATATGTTTTTATTTATTTTTACAGAGAGGAAAGGAGAGGGATAGGAAGTCAGAAACACTGGGGATGTGCCTGCAACCCAGGTACATGCCCTTGACTGGAATCGAACCCGGGACCTGCCAGTCCGCAGCCCGACGCTCTATCCCCCGAACCAAACCGGTTTCGGCTAAAATCTTATTTATTTTGTGCAGAAATCCAGTACCAGATTTTTTTTTAAAAATCTGTTTATACTAGGAAGTTTCAGTACAAGCACTGAAACTTTAATGTGATTTTGTAACCTGTGTTACTAGTATTTCCCTTGGTGAGCTTTCCATCGACAGAAATCAGACCCCAGGGTAGACATGGATTCTTTTACCTCTGAGTAGATATGGGAAAGTAGTGCACTTAACATTTTATAGCCACCCAGTTCATGGGTACATTTTCATATTCCCTGTCACCACAGAATTGGTTGGTCCCTAAGAAATCTTTCAGGCAAGATTCATCTCCCCTCATGGAGGCTATGGACATCATATTAAAATCAAGCCAGTCAACAGCACAAGGCTGCGTGGAGACCATGAAAATGATGCAATTTCCATGAAATTCTACTGACTTCAAATATCATTTCTACCAATGCATTTTATTTAGATTCTTGTGTGTCCAAGGTTAGGCAAAAAGTGAATAAAATGAAACAAAAAATAAAGCAAAAATTTACAGATTTTTTCCCCCAAAAGAAGCTCTATGCAATTAACAGAAAATAAAAATCAAAGTAAAAATATCAAAGCATATTAAAAAGCATAAGATAATAGATAAAATAAAATATGATCATTTTGTATGTGTGCTAGTATTTGAGAGGCCAGTGTGATTCCTGTTTAACCTAAAAAGTTTTACAATTCACTGTGTTCCTTCTGTATGGTAGAGGTGAAGCTGTGGCTACTTAACGTTGTACACAGAGAACTCCAAGTATAGACAAAGAAAAGCAATCCTCAGGTGCTCTCTACCAGGCTCTGTGCTCACAGCGTGTCATTCACCTGCACACAGTGTCACTGTCTCCATTGACAGGACAAGTGTATCTGTGTGTACATTCTTGCTCTCTCACACCTAGACATTTTTTCCCCCATCTTTTTTTTTTTTTTAATTTTTTTGACCCAATTAGGAGATTTCTTTTGAAATTAGCATTTTGACATTTGGATTTTTGCATAGATTAATACTCATTCTTTTTTTAAATTTCTTTATTGAATAAGGTGTTATATATGTGTCCTTATTCTCCCATTACCTACCACCCCTGACCACATACACACTCATGGCCTCACCTCCCTGTTGTCTGTGGCCATTGGTTAGGTTTATATGCATGCATACCGGTCCTTTAGTTGATGTCTTCCCCTTATCCCCACCCTCTCCTATCTTCCCTCTGAGGTTTGAGAAAAGTGAAAGAATTCAACCAATATCTACTGTAATTTTGGTAAGTTCATTTGTAATGCTTGTAAAGACTGGTGATCTGCCTATCATAGTGTAGTATCTCATTAAAGAAACAGAGCCACAACATAGGTAAATAAAAGTTACTCCTTTACTTCCCCTGATTTTTCTCTTAGGGACATTAAATGAGATCCAGCTATCTCAGTGCTGTCCTCATTCACCCCTGATTTCTTTTTCAACCCATTTTCTTCATGATTATAGCTGTTCTAACTCATCTCTTCTAAACCTCCCCAGAAAGAAAATTTCCTTTACATCCCACTTACCTCTCTTAAATTATTTTTTCATCTCTGATCTCAGTACTTTATTATGAAGGTATTTCTTTCTTTCTTTTTTCCTCATGTAGACATTTCTTTCCTTCTAGAAGTGTGGGGCAAGGGAGAAACATCTCTGACCCTGAAGTTCGTCTATTTGGTGGGAGGAGTCGGTGATGGATACTCTCGCAATATTTTTTATGCCACCATATAGTATATATTAAAGTTCAGCTCACTAATTCTGTTTGATTTTCTTTAGCTAATATCCACTTGAGACTATTTCTATGTGAAATAGGTCTATTCTCCCTAAAATGAATTCTAGAAAACTATCAACTGTAGACTTAGGAAATTCTCTATTCATTGATCTTATAAGTTGTCATGCTATGAATTTAATAAAACCTTGACTACTTTTTTCTTTGTGTGGAGAAGTGAAACAACTGGGAGCAATACAAATGAAGAGCTGAGGGAAAGGAAGATGTCCAGAACTGCTGAAAGAGCGATGTTATGAGATTTCTGGCTCATGTACCAGTTGTGACAATTTAGAGAAAAGGATGAGGCGTGTGGTAGAAAGACAGAAAAAGGTTTAGTCCCTAAACAAGTCCTCGGAACATAGGAGCCAGAATGAATATATGTACCTAGAAATATGAATTAAAGGAAAGTCAAGTATGAAAATAAAACAAGGAATTAGGGTTGTAACCCTTTCCTAAGGTTATCCTCCTTTAAAAAACTATATTCAGCCAGAGAACAGACTTTTTTTTTTTCATCTTTGACAATATAATAGAGACAGGAATATTAGTATTTCTCCCCCATTATCTTTACCTTCCTTGTTTTCCAAGTAAAGTGTTTGATTTGTACTCAGGACTGATAGAGGTCCTGATATCATTCTTAATCAGAAAGGCTGGTTCTGTGTAAGCTTTCCTTGTTGCTAGCTTACATGGACTCTTGTTTGCATATGTTCCCAAAGTGTACTAAACCAGTCAACCACACAAAGTAGAAAGAAGTGGACTTCATAATCCTCCTCAGTGAGTGACTGGCAATAGTACTATCCTGAAGAGACATGCTCCCTCCCCTCCCTTTCCCCTCAATCTCATTTTTATCACATCATCCACAGACTTGAATTGTGCACAGCAGCCTATATCTCTGGTGAACATTTTTATCAGACAGAAAGACAGGACAAAAAGCCATTAAACAGGGATTTTTATGTCAAATTGCATTAGTGAAAAACAAACAAACAAACAAACAAAAATGGCTCACCTTCACATACAATGGCTCTCTGAGATGATCGACAAGAATGCACGCTTTCTCCTCCCACACAGGATTGAGGTTCTTGTGTATTATTTTACTTCTAAAAACTTCTTTTCCTCCAATTTTAAACTTCACATATGGGTCACTTGTCCCTGTTAAAGAAAAGCAGATTGATCCAAGTTAATTATGCCTTTCTATGGAGGCAAGAGAATAGCTCATCTACTCACCAGCAAGTATTTCAAGGAATAAAAAAAAAAGCTTAGTACCTGGAAAATAAGGGTTAAGAGTATTTTCCTAATTTTTTCCTGAAATATTAAAGTGACAGCAAAGTATTTATTATAATAATAATTATTATTATCAACCTCCTGTACTCAATATTGTAACCCTGTTCTGATATTTTAAAAAATCTATTGCAGCCGAAGGCGGTTTGGCTCAGTGGTAGAGCATCGGTCTGCGGACTGAAAGGTCCCGGGTTCAATTCCAGTGAGGGGCATGTACATTGGTTGCAGGCACATCCCCAGTATGGGGTGTGCAAGAGGCAGCTGGTCGATGTTTCTCTCTCATCGACATTTCTAGCTCTCTATTTCTCTCCATTCCTCTCTGTAAAAAATCAATAAAATATATTTTAAAAAATAAAAAAATTTAAAATCTATTGCATGCTGCATATGTAAATGCAATTCATGTTATAAATGATAGTGATTAATCTGGCATTTCTCTTGATATCATTTGGTTCACTCTAAAAAGGATGATCCATAATCTTGGCTGCTTTAAGGAGTTTTAGACTTACAGATGCTGCTAAAATTTTATACTAGTTTAATGGGCTTCATTAGGAAAAGATGAGTCTCAAATTTGGCTTCAATTTAGTCCATGGTTCCATATTCTCTTTTGCTCAGAAGTTTCCGCTTTAGAATGTTAGGAAGGAATGACGGTCTCAGAGGAAGGAATCAGGGAGAAGGGAACACGTGTTTATGAAGTGCTCTGGAGATTATCCCTTAGCATCTCCTAAGCTCCCAAAATAATAAAGAAAATCAGAGCTGTCAAGTAAGTTGCTTATGGACACACAGCTAGCAAGAGATGGTTAGGATTGCAACCAAGACTATTTAACTCTAATGCATGTGTCTTTTCTACTACACCTGCAAGAGAGAAGGGCCTTTACATAGTACTTACACAGATATTATATCATTTCCCATTTTGACTGATGAATGAGACCAGTCTTGGTCTAATGAGTCTATGTCCTTATTAAGAATTCCTAGAGAAGATGTATCATTCCTGACCCCAAGTAAATCATTCCAGTGTGTGACAACTTTCATCTTCAGGAAATAACTCTATTCGAGGCACTTATATTAAAACTTTGTTTGATTTTTCAGTTTTCTCCCCAAGCTGAAGTTATAATTGATAACTATGTTTATATAAGTTAAAGGAAAATATGAGTGAGCCTATGAAAACTGAAAAGCACCATATGAATATTGGCATTACAATTATGATACTGATCTCCTTAAACTCACTATTAATAGCCCTCCTTTACACTCCACTAATCTCAATGACACATAAATATCTATGGTTGACATAAGGTGCATTATAGGATTTGGTTTTTCTTATTGAATCTCTCAGAGGCCCTCTCAAAACTCTCCACATTCCTCAAATAAATGTAATGCCTTATTTTTAATGCACCTACTAGTAGGCCTGAGCCTAATGAAATAATGACCTCAATTTCCCACATGAAATTCCCATTTGGGTAGTTTGATTTTATCATTATGGTACAAACTTGAAAAAATATTTATAAATGTAAATGCAGGGTATATCACCGTAACCTGTTTTAATGTATTCGTTAGGGAAGTCAATGCAATAAAAATGTTCAGTACTTAAAATGACTATTATTAACAGCAGTTCCCAACTTAGGGCTGAGGAACTGGGAATTGAGAGTGTTGTAAAACATATATTGAGAGTTACTAAAACCCATGTACCCATTTGTATTTTCTCAGTCGTGGCCTAGACCATTTATTGTCTTTCATTTTGAAAAGCATTGACATACTGCTACTACCTGCTAAAATATAATACCAGAGTTTGGGGTACTTTTATAAAATCTTCAGTACTTAGTACAGAATCAGAGCTTCTCATTATATCCATGATGCCATTTGACCATTTGAGGCAGTAAATATCCCATAGCCTGAAGAAAAAACAATCCAGCTAACAAGAGTAGGTCTAAGCATTAAGTTAAGGATTAGGGATAGCCTGTGACAGGCACAAAGATCTCAAGGATTGGTATAATTGAAAGGAAAGACTGTTTTTAGGACTCTGAAAAAAAGTTAAATATATTTTATTAACATGTATATTTGGCCACAGGATGATCTGGATTGGAGATAGTAAATATGTTAGCAAATTTCATAGTCAGAACTACAGGAGTGACAGAGTCATTTGCACACTCATGGAAGCTGATATCACCTGACTTTCCTCACTTTGTTTTGACTCCATAGAATAAAATGTGCTATATTTCTCTTTGCAACCATTGATTAGCCCTCTAGGACTATCATTAGAATTTAATATTTTTAATAGTCATGTTTCTTTAAAATATTCTAATTGTTTTCAAGTTATTAACTTATGGGACCTTTAGTGACTTAGAGTCCTTAATAGTTCAAAACCCTCAGCTTATGATTACAGCTTACTGAATTGGAAGACATTGTTTCATTGAGAGTGAGTAAAAATTTTGCATGTAATCTTCTATGTTTGAAAGTGATTTTCCAAACTTATTTCAGCAATTTATTATTGGATAACATGAATAGGTATTATTAGCATTAAGAAAAAAAAAAAGAGTTCTGTGGTCAAGCGTATTTGAAAATGCTGGTTTAAAACAAAATTAAATGGATTTGTTTCCTATAGCCTTTAAAGAAAATATATTGTTGACACTATTACAGACTTCCCCCTCTTTACCCACCTACATCCAGTTCCTGCCCCTCCTTCCTCTGGCCTTCACCACTCTGTTGTCTGTGTCCATGGGCAATGCAGATATTTTCTTTGGCTAATCTCTTCACCTTTCTCCACCCAGTACCCTCATCCTCTCCCAACCTCTGTTAGTTTGTTTCATGCATTCATACCTCTGGTTCTATTTTGTTTGTCAGTTTATTTTGTTCATTAGATTCCACATATAAGACCTTTGTCTTTTTCCAACTGGCTTATTTCACTCAGCATGATAATCTCCAGGTCCATCCATGCTGTCTCAGAAAGTAAGAGGTCCTTTCTTTTTTATGGCTGCATAGTATTCCATTGTGTAACTGTTACCACATCTTTTTTTATCCACCCCCTGATGGGCGCTTGGGTTGTTTCCTGACCTTAGCTATTATAAATAACACAGCTCTGAACAGAGGGGTGAATATATTCTTTCTGATTGTTATTTTGGGATTCTTAGGATATATTCCCAGAAGTGGGACTAGTCAAAAGGCAGCTCCATTTTTAGTTTTTTGAAGGAACTCCATATTGAGTTCCACAGTGGTTATACTGGCCTGCATTCCCACCAGCAGTATATGAGGGTTCCCTTTTCTCTATCCTTACCAACACTTGTCATATGTTGATTTGTTGATAGTAGCCATTCTGACAGGTGTGAGTGATAACTCATTGTGGTTTTATTTCACATCTCTCTGATGATTGGTGATGTTGAGCATTTTTTCATATGTCTGTTGGCCAGCTGCATGTCCTCTTTGGAGAAGTGTCCATTCAGGTCCTCTGCCCATTTTATTTTTATTTTAGCAGTTTTATTCCAGTGTGTATTATCTCTAAATCCATTTTTAATTTCGTCCTGTCTATGTTCTTTTATATATTTCGGAAATTAACTCCTTATAGCCTTTAAATAAGTAAATGGACTCTCCAAGATGGGGACATGACATGCAGCATTTACCAGACTTTTTTGACCATACGGCCTACTTTTAGCTCATATTGCAAGATTAAGAATTCCCTGTTTCTCTTTAGGAAATGCTGCCTTATTATCTTTTGTAGATAAGAAAGTCTCACATGTTTTTTGGAGGTTCTTTTATTGTAATACACTTCTCAATGAAATCAAGGAATTTTATTACAATAACCCCCCAATAAATCCAAGCAATTAACATGTGGTTAATCTTTAATAAATATATTATATCAAAAATTTTAGTTTGTTGGTACAAAAACAAAACACAAACGAACAAAAATCCTAAAACAATAAATTCATGTGCCTGTTTATTTGTTGTAATAGTGCATTCAACCACAAGATGGCACTAACACTTATCAAATTCAAAGTTAAGGCATCACTACTGCACACTTGTTCTCAGGCATTTTCCTGTGCTTTATTGTCATTAGCTGGAACATGACCCTCATAAAACACTTTTTACGGTAATAATGAAATTAAAATAGGCAAGTAAGTATGGGAGAAGAAAATAGGAGGTGCTAGCCCTAAAATAAAATCCAGCTTTTTGTCATTAATGTCATTTTCAAGAGCAATTTTTCAACATTCATTTTATCAGGTAGCATTAACTTCAGAATTTATTTGTAAACATTACTAATTATTTTATTATTGTTAATTCCTTGCTTCAAAAAATTTAGAATATCAATTGTTTATTTCTGTACCCTAAAATCAAATTGTTTAAAAAGAATAATTAGGTGGCTTATATAATATTTTCTCATGTAGGAAAAAAAAATCACATGTCTGTCCCAAATGTTATATTTTATTTTTATATATTTTTTCAGAGCCAAGTCACTGATAAGCATTTCAATATTTTATGCGATTGGTTAGAATAACAGACATAATTTAAGTCCAATAGGACTAGACTTTGAATGGGCCTCCTTTTGTGCTGCACTGAACACAGCAAACACAAGATGGCAGCATCTCCTTCCTTAAAATAGTATTAGAGCTGTTTAAAATGTAAATAGCCATCAATGCAGAGTCTCTTGGTTTCCATTCTCAGAATAAATAAGCCTCCTGATTAACAAGTTTAAATCAGTCTTATCCCAAGCCTAGCATTTCAGAGAATTGTATTTTTTCAATAATGCTAACGTCTAATAAAAACAATGCCGATTTGAAACTCAGTCCTAAATTAGAATGTAATAAAAAGAGAAGGAGGATGTATAGGTTATCGGTGTGAAAAACTGGCTCCATCTTTGTAAGCTGCATTTTCTCTATCCTTGATTT